TCATCTGTCGGGAGGGCTTTGATGGTGTCTGTGAATGCCAAGTCCCCTTCTTTGGAGGCTCTTAAGCAGAGGCTGGATGGCCATCTGTCGGGAGGGCTTTGATGGTGTCTGTGAATGCCAAGTCCCCTTCTTTGGAGGCTCTTAAGCAGAGGCTGGATGGCCATCTGTCGGGAGGGCTTTGATGGTGTCTTTGTGAATGCCAAGTCCCCTTCTTTGGAGGCTCTTAAGCAGAGGCTGGATGGCCATCTGTCGGGAGGGCTTTGATGGTGTCTGTGAATGCCAAGTCCCCTTCTTTGGAGGCTCTTAAGCAGAGGCTGGATGGTCATCTGTCGGGAGGGCTTTGATGGTGTCTGTGAATGCCAAGTCCCCTTCTTTGGAGGCTCTTAAGCAGAGGCTGGATGGCCATCTGTCGGGAGGGCTTTGATGGTGTCTTTGTGAATGCCAAGTCCCCTTCTTTGGAGGCTCTTAAGCAGAGGCTGGATGGCCATCTGTCGGGAGGGTGTCTTTGTGAATGGCAGGATGGCATTAAGGCTTACCTTCCAACTCTAGTGTAATATAGACTCTCTAGAAGTCTGGTGGAGTCTCTTTTTCTGGTGTCTCTTAAGCAGGGGCTGGATGGCCATCTTTCAGGAGGGCTTTGATGGTGTCTTTGTGAATGGCAGGATATCATTTAGGCTTTCCTTCCAACTCTAGTGTAATATAGACTCCCTAGGAGTCTATATTACACTAGCATAGAATGGAATCTTGACCTTAGATTAGAATAGAATGCGATTTTGATCTTCGATTCCTATTGACGCAACCTGGGATCGTGTTGGCCTTGTTGGCTGCCGCATCGCAGTGTTGGCTCGTGTTCAGCTTGTGGTCCGCTGAAGAAAGGGGCAAGGCAGGAGGAGGAGAAAGGAACGGGGACATTTCCAAAGCCAGTTGGGGATTGGCCTTGACCTGGATTCGAGCCTGCCTCAGTTTCCCTGCCAGTTGGGGCCCTCCTGTGCCCACGGAGGGGGCGGGCGGTTTCACTAGTGAACGCAGGCGAGGCCGCTGGGGCCCCGAGAGATGAAAGCGGCAGGCCGGGCCACAGAGGCACCACCGGGCTGTTATTATGCGCACGGGGACGCGATAACTGTGGGCCGCGTGGCTCCGGCGGCAGCCGCTTGCCACACCGCCGAGCCCTGGAGGGCCTTGAAACCGCCTTCAAAGGAAGTGCTGCCAGTTGCCTAATGAGTAGGTTGGCATCAAGGCACGGCTTGCCCCACATTTACAAGAGGGAAACTGAGGCTGGGTCTACGCTGCCCTATAATGTGTTATATGGGTCTACGCTGCCTTGTAATACACTAAATAGGTCTATAATGCGCTATATAGGTCTATTCTGCCCTATAATGTGCTGTATGGGTCTGTACAGCTATACAATACACCATGTAGGTCTACACAGTCCTACAATGCACTATATGGGTCGACACTGCCCTATAATGTGCTGTGTGGATCTATACTACCCTATAATGTGCTATATGGCTCTACACTGCCTTATAGTATGCTAACTAGGTCTATACTGCCCTATAATGCACTATATGGATCTACACTACCCTGTAATGCGCTATATGAATCTATACTACCCTATAATATGGCTCTACACTGATATGCTAAACAGGTATACACTGCCCTATAATGCACTGCATGGGTCTACACTGCTCTATAATGCCTTATATGGGTCCACAACACACTATAATGTACTATATGTATCTACACTACCCTGTAATGCGCTATATGAATCTATACTACCCCATAATATGGCTCTACACTGATATGCTAAACAGGTATACACTGCCCTATAATGCGCTGTATGGGTCTACACTGCTCTATAATACCTTATATGGGTCCACAACACACTATAATGCACTGTAAGGGTCCACGCTGCCCTATAATACACTATATGGATCTACACACCCCTATAATACATTATATGGATCTACAATGTCCTATAATGTGCTATATAGGTTTTCACTGCCCTATATGGGTCTATACTGTCCTATAATGTGCTATATGCCTCTACACTGCCTTATAGTATGCTAAACAGGTATACACTGCCCTATAATGTGCTATATGGGTCTACACTGACCTATAATACCTTATACGAGTCCACACTGCCCTTTAATGCACTGTAAGGGTCCATACTGTCCTATAATGTACTATATGGATCTACACTGCCATGTAATGCGCTGTATGCGTCCACACTACCCTATCATACACTGTATGGGTCTACACAGCCCTATAATGCATTTATGGGTCTACACTGCCCTATAATGTGCTATATGGGTCTACACTGCCCTATAATACCTTATATGAGTCCACACTGCCCTATAATGCACTATATGTGTCTATACTCCCCTATAAAGTGCTAAACAGGTCTACACTGTCCTATAATGTGTTATATAGATCTACACTGCCCTGTAATGTACTATATGGGCCTATACAGTCCTATAACACACTATATGGGTCGACACTGCCCTGTAATGCGCTGTATGGGTCCACACTACCCTATAATACACTGTATGGGTATACACAGCCCTATAATGCATTTATGGGTCTACACTGCCCTATAATGTGCTATATGGGTCTACACTGCTCTATAATATCTTATATGGGTCCACTCTGCTCTATAATGCACTATATGGGTCTGTGCTGCCCTATAATGCACTGCATGGCTCTACACCACCCTATAATGAATTGTGTGGATCTACATTGCCCTATAATGCATAATATGGGTCTACACTTTTCTATAATGCATTAAATGGGTCTACACTGCCCTACAATGAATTATATAGATCTACACTGCTTTATAATGCGCTATGTGGCTGTACTTTGCTCTATAATGCATTATATGGGTCTACACTGCTCTATAATGCATTATAGAGGTCTACACTGCTCTATAATGCGCTATATGGGTCTACACTGCTATATAATGTGCTATATACGTCTACACTGCTCTATAATGCACTATATAGGCCTACACTGCTCTATAATGCGCTATATGGGTCTACACTGCTCTATAATGTGCTATATAGGTCTACATTGCTCTATAATGTGCTATGTGGGTTTACTTTGCTCTATAATGCATCATTTGGCTCTACGCTGTTCTATAATGCATTAAACAGGTCTACACTGCTCTATAATGTGCTATATGGGTCTACAGTGCTCTATAATGGGTTTACACTGCTCTATAATGTACTATATGGGTCTACACTGCCCTATAATGCATTACATAGATCTATACTGCCCTATAACACCTTTTAACTGCACTGAACTGGATTATATGTGTCTACACTGCCATATCATCCAGTTCAATGTAATTAAACTGCATGATATGGCAGTGTACATGGAGCCATGGTCAGTGTGTAGACTCATGCAAAGCAGTTCAGTCTACACTGACCACAGAATGCAGTTTCAGACTGCAGCTCTATGGCAGCGTAGATGGAACCTGAGAAAATAAAACCATCCAGGCAAAGAATGTCAAGTCCTTATTTTAAAAAGTTTGATTGTCTGGATAGTGCAGACCTTGGGATTTGGGAGATCTAGATCGTGCTATGCCTCCAGTGATGAAACTAACCAGGGGAGGGCAAAGAAATAAAAACGAGGAACAGTCCGCTCTTAATATCTCAATCAACCGGTTCATCCGTACGCTTTGCCACGGGGGAAAAACAGGAACTTGTGCTCTGAGAGCGGGAACAAGATGCTTTTGAATGGCACTTTCCTAGATTTTATTTTCTGTTGTTTTCTTAGCAGATCACAAGTTGAACATGAGCCAACAGCGTGACGCTGCAGCTAAAAAGGCCAATGCGATTCCAGCCTGTATTTCTAAGAATCATAGAATCATAGACCTCATGGGCCTTCCAGTCCAACCCCATGCCAAGAAGCAGGAACTCCAAAGAGACATGCACAAGAAGTGGAAAAAGGGAGAAATCACCAAAGAAGAATTCAAAGCATTAAATTACACTTTTAGCCTCAGCTTCTGCCAATCTAGAATCATAGACCTCATGGGCCATCCAGTCCAACCCCATTCTGTCAAGAAACAGGAAAAGTGCATTGAAAGCACCCCCAACAGATGGCCATCCAGCCTCTGTTTAAAAGCTTCCAAAGAAGGAGCCTCCACCACACTCCGAGGCAGAGAGTTCCACTGCTGAACGGCTCTCACAGTCAGGAAGTTCTTCCTCATGTTCAGATGGAATCTCCTTTCTTGTAGTTTCAAGCCATTGTTTCATCTATGCTGATGATCATGCCATCACCGCTCAAGCAGGAAGCTGAACAGAAACGCTCCGAAGATCTACGGATTTCTTTATTGAATTTTTGTAAATATTTGGAATTAGAATCATAGAATCATAGAGTTGGAAGAGACCTCATGAGCCATCTAGTCCAAGAAGCAGGAAAATTGCATTCAAAGCAACCCTGATAGATGGCCATCCAGCCTCCGTTTAAAAGCTTTCAAAGAAGGAGTCTCCACCACACTCCGGGGCAGAGAGTCCCACTGCTGAACAGCTCTCACAGTCAGGAAGTTCTTCCTCATGTTCAGGTGGGATCTACTTTCTTGTAGTTTGAAGTCATAGTCTCCAGAAAACAAGCTTGCTCCCTCCTCCCAATGGCTTCCTCTCACATATTTATACATGGCTATCATGTCTCCTCTCAGCCCTCTCTTCTTCAGGCTAAACATGTCCAGCTCTTTAAGCCGCTCCTCATAGGGCTTGTTCTCCAGACCTTTTATCATTTTAGTCACCCCCCTCTGGAATATAAGGGAAAATAATAGTCCCATTCTATTCTGCTCTGTTCAGATCTGGAATACTGTGTCCAATATTCAGACCTCTGTCCAATAACCAGAGTGGATACAGTCTTGATCCCATTGTTTTGATTCTGTTTTAAAGGGAATTCCTAGTGCGCATGCGTGAAAGAGCTCAAGCTTTGTTTTGTTCTGCACAGATTTCGTGGTTCGGGTTCCCTCTAGCGGCGGGCGGCGGGATTATCCGGAAGTAGCGTGGAGCACGAGAGCTCAACCCGGGGATCAGCTGAGCTGCAGAAAGGTTTGCATTTCTGGGGAAGGGAGTGCATTGATTTTTAGGGTTTCCCAGCCTAGCCCAGAACCCCCTGAACCCATTGCATGCTCCTTCCCTTCCCAGCTTGGACCCAGAACCTCCCTGGCCATTGCATTTTCCAATTAGAGCAACTGGGAGTTGTAGTACTACAAGTCTGCTTTAGCCTGTTTTGCACCAGCAGCTTTAGTTTGCAGAGCTTCTGAGAAACTTCATGGATTTTTTTTCCAGCACGGAATCAAATCTGGGTTGGAAAGATAAGCAGGGTTAGCCCTGGCTAGGACTTGAATGGGAGACCACCAACCCAAACCAGGTTAGGAAGAACTTCCTGACTGTGAGAGCCGTTCAGCAGTGGAACTCTCTGCCCCGGAGTGTGGTGGAGGCTCCTTCTTTGGAAGCTTTTAAACAGAGGCTGGATGGCCATCTGTCAGGGGTGATTTGAATGCAATATTCCTGCTTCTTGGCAGTGGTTGCTAACCTTGGGGTCAGGACCCCTGTGGGGGTCACAAAGGAGTGTCAGAGGGATTGCCTAAGACCATCCAAAAACAAAATTTTCTGTTGGTCACAGAGGTTCTGTGTGGGAAATTTGGCCCAAATCTATCATTGGTGGGGTTCAGAAAGCTCTTTCATTGTAGGTGAACTATAAATCCCAGGAATTATAATTCCCAAAATGTCAAGGACTATTTTCCCCCAGACTCCTCCAGTGTTCACATTTGGTCATATTGAGTATTCGTGCCAAGTTTAGTCTAGATCCATCATTGTTTGAGTCCACAATGGTCTCTGAATGTAGGCAAACTACAACTCCAAAACTCAAGGTCAGTGCCCACCAAACCCCACCAGTATTTTCTGTGTGCCAAGTTTGGCCCAATTCCATCGTTGGTGGAGTTCAGAATGCTCTTTGATTCCAGGTGAACTATTAATTCCCAGCAACTACAACTCCCAAATGGCAAAATCAACCCTGCCCCCCCAACCCCACTGGACTGATAGTTGGGCATATCAGTCCAGTGAATGAAAATGCATCCTGCATGTCAGATATTTACATTATGATTCATAACAGTAGCAAAATGACAGTTATGAAGTAGCAACGAAAATAATTTTATGGTTGGGGGTCACCACAACATGCGGAATTGTATTAAGGGGTCGCGGCATTCGGAAGGTTGAGAACCACTGTTCTAGACAGAGGGTTGGACTGGATGTCCCATGAGGTCTCTTCCAACTCATTGATTCTATGATTCTATGATTCTATGGTTGGACTGGATGGCCCATGAGGTCTCTTCCAACTCTATGATTCTATAATTCTATTATTCTAGATTGGCAGAAGCTGAGGCTAACAGTGCAATTTAATGCTTTGACTTCTTCTTTGGTGATTTCTCCCTTTTTCCACTTCTTGTGCATGTCTCTTTTGCCCTGGAGCAATGGCTTCAAACTACAGGAAAGAAGATTCCAACTGAACATTAGAAGAACTTCCTGACTGTGAGAGCTGTTCAGCAGTGGAACTCTCTGCCCTGGAGTGTGGTGGAGGCTCCTTCTTTGGAGCTTTTAAACAGAGGCTGGATGGCCATCTGTTGGGGGTGCTCTGAATGCAATTTTCCTGCTCTTGGACTGGATGGCCCATGAGGTCTCTTCCAACTCTATGATTCTATTATTCTAATGATTCTATGTGGCAGAAGTGAGGCTAACAGTGGGATGTTTTGAAGTCTTCTTTGATGATTTCTCCCTTTTTCCACTTCTTGGGCCTGTCTCTTTGGAATCTCAGCCCAGTTAGAAGTTCTTTGGACATCCATTCTGGCTTCTGGCTACAAGAAAAGAGGTTCCACCTGAACATTAGGAAGAACTTCCTGACTGTGAGAGCTGTTCAGCAGTGCAACTCTCTGCCCTGGAGTGTGGTGGAGACTCCTTCTTTGGAAGCTTTGATACAGAGACTGGATGGCCATCTGTCAGGGGTGCTTTGAATGCAATTTTGGCAGGATGGGGTTGGACTGGATGGGCCATGAGGTCTCTTCCAACTCTATGATTCTAGGTGTTATAGCAAGCATGGTCCAACTTGGGCCTTCCAGGTGTTTCAGACTTCAACTCCCACAATTCCCAACAGTCTCAGACCCTTTGCCCCCCCCCCCCCACAGCTGCTTAAGCCAGCATTTTTCAACCTGGGGATCAGGACCCCGGGGGGGGGGTCACAAAGGGATGTCAGAGGGGTCCCAAAGACATCAGAAAACACAGTATTTTCTGTTGATCATGGGTTCTGTGTGGGAAGTTTGGCCAATTCTATCGTTGGGGTTCAGAATGCTCTTTGATTGTAGTGAACTATAAATCCCAGCAACTACAACTCCCAAATGTCAAGGTCTGTTTTCCCCAAACTCCACCAGTGTTCACATTTGGGCATATTGAGTGTTTGTGACAAGTTTGGTTCAGATCCATCATTGTTTGAGTCCATAGTGCTCTTTGGATGTAGGTGAACTACAACTCCCAAACTCAAGTTCAATACCCACCAAACCCTTCCACCATTTTCAGTTGGTCATGGGAGATCAGTGTGCCAAGTTTGGTTCAATTCCATTGCTGGTGGATTTCTGAATGCTCTTTGATTGTAAGTGAACTATAAATCCCAGCAACTACAACTCCCAAATGACAAAATCAATCCCCTCCCCAACCCCACCAGTATTCAAATTTGGGTATATCAGGTATTTGTGCCAAATTTGGTCCAGTGAATGAAAATATATCCTGCATATTAGATATTTACATTAATTCATAACAGTAACAATATGACAGTTACGAAGTAGCAACGAAAATAATGTTATGGTTGGGGGTCACCACAACATGAGAAACTGTACTAAGGGGTCGCGGCATTAGGAAGAGGTTCCCGGTGGCACAGTGGGTGCTGGCAGGACTCAAGACCGAGAGGTTCAAATACATGGAGAGCGCGGATGAGCTCCCTCTGTCAGCTCTAGCTCCCCACGCGGGGACATGAGAGAAGCCTCCCAGAAGGATGGTAAAACATCCAACAGGTCGGAGGTTTGAATCCGGGGAGAGCATGGATGAGCTCCCTCTGTCAGCTCCAGCTCCTCGTGCGGGGACATGAGAGAAGCCTCCCACAAGGATGGTAAAACATCAAAACGTCCGACAGGTCGGAGGTTTGAATCGGGGAGAGTGCAGATGAGCTCCCTCTGTCAGCTCTAGCTCCCCATGCGGGGACATGAGAGAAGCCTCCCACAAGGATGGTAAAACATCAAAACATCCGACAGGTCGGAGGTTTGAATCCGGGGAGAGCATGGATGAGCTCCCTCTGTCAGCTCTAGCTCCCCATGCGGGGACATGAGAGAAGCCTCACACAAGGATGTAAAACATCAAAACATCCGGATATCCCCTTGTCAACATCCTTGCAGATGGCCAATTCTCTCATACCAGAAGCAACCTGCAGGTTCTCAAGTCGCTCCTGTCACGGAAAAATAAAAATTCAGAAGGTCGAGAAAAACTGACTTAAGCGGAAAAGGAAAGGGAAAAAGAGGGGCCCAAGGCAGTTAGGAATTGTGAGAGTTGAAGTCCAAAACAGATAACATATATAGACACTCGGAGGCTATTTAACATTCCAGCTTTTTCACGAGGATATTCTGGCCACCAGGGGAGCTGTTGCATCACCGTCCATTTATGACATTAATGAAGTACTTCCTCATTCTTTGCGTGCTTGCTGGAGATTTTTATGGCCTCGTAAATTAGTTAAATTAGCCTCCCCGCATAAGCGCTACTTAAATTTCCTACTTGATAGATGCAACTGTCTTTCGGGCTGCAAAGGTCGACAGCAAGCTACACAAATTGGTCGGACGCTCACTCCGACCCGGGCTGGATTCGAACTTGTGACCTTTCAGTTAGTAGTTATCTTAATGCAGCTGACTCCCAGCCAGCTGCACCACATTTCCAGTGCTATTTTCCCTGTTTTGCAAATTTTGTTTTTTTCCCCAGCCTTCACTATGGGATCCAAAGGAACTGAGAGCTGGTCCAACATGTTGGCTTCTTTCCGGGCTGGCCCCACAGCTTTCCTTTTGTCCCACGGAGCCAGCGAGACCTTCGTGGCCGAGCTTTTGCGGGAACTGCATGGCGACCGGTCAGGGGAACAGATCAAGGTAAGGTGGTGTTCTCCAAAACAAGGGTGTATGGTTGTTAATAGAATCCTAGAACCCTAGAGTTGGAAGACACATGGATGACCATCTGTTGGGAGGGCTTTGATTGTGTCTTCCTCCAATGGATGGCCCTTGGAGTCTTTTTCTTGTTAGACCTCCCTTGAGCATAAATTGGTGAAAGGGGCATAAAATATTGTGGAAACAAACCCGGCGACAAGAGTCATGGTCCCCAAATCTTGGTTCGCCAGATATATTAGACTACAACTCCCAAAATTACACTATTTTTGTTCCTGGGTTATAAATGTCGTTTTCCTAATTGGTTCTGTCATAAACACATGGCAAAATGCAAAAACGTTGGATTGTCGAAGGCTTTTGTGTTTTACCATCCTCTGGGAGGCTCCTCTCATCTCCCTGCATGGGAAGTTGGAGCTGACGGATGGGAGTTCACCCCATTCTCCAGATTCAAACCACCAACCTTTCGGTCAGCATTCCTAGCATTAGGAAGAACTTCCTGACTGTGAGAGCCGTTCAGCAGTGGAACTCTCTGCCCCGGAGTGTGGTGGAGGCTCCTTCTTTGGAAGCTTTTAAACAGAGTCTGGATGGCCATCTGTCGGAGGTGCTTTGAATGCAATTTTCCTGCTTCTTGGACTGGATGGCTCATGAGGTCTCTTCCAACTCTATGATTCTATAATTCTATGATTCTAGATTGGCAGAAGCTGAGGCTAAGTGTAATTTAATACTTTGAATTCTTCTTTGGTGATTTCTCCCTTTTTCCACTTCTTGTGCATGTCTCTTTGGAGTCTCGGCCCAGTTAGAAGTTCTTTGGACATCCATTCTGGCTTCTGGCTACAAGAAAAGAGATTCCACCTGAACATTAGAAAGAACTTCCTGAACGTGAGAGCCGTTCAGCAGTGGAACTCTCTGCCCCGTAGTGTGGTGGAGGCTCCTTCTTTGGAAGCTTTTAAACAGAGGCTGGATGGCCATCTGTTGGAGGTGCTTTGAATGCAATTTTCCTGCTTCTTGGCAGGATGGGGTTGGACTGGATGGCCCATGAGGTCTCTTCCAACTCTTTGATTCTATGATTCTATGAGCAGTCCTGCCACACAAGGGGAATAAATAATAACACTATATAACAAAATGTGAAAAATGTGTTGTCGAAGGCTTTCATGGCCGGAATCACTGGGTTGTTGTCAGTCTAAATAAAAATCTGTTCCTGTTTGAAAGTGTTATTTCCTGTTTAATTATGCAGGGCTTAATTTGAACGTAGTTGTCATGCTACAGAACCTTCCTTTTTGTGGCTGTCACAAATTAGGTTGAATTGGTTGGGACTCAACGAGATATTCATTCAAAAACTAGAGCAAAATCTGCTGCAGGATGTTTTGCGAGAACAACGTTTTTGCAGGGTTGTTGTAGGTTTTTCGGGCTATATGGCCATGTTCCAGAAGCATTCTCTCCTGACGTTTTGCCCCCGTCTATGGCAGGCATCCTCAGCGGTTGTAAGGTCTGTTGGAAACTTGGCAAGTGGGATTTATATCTGTGGAATAATGTGCAGGGTGAGAGAAAGAACTCTTGCCTGTTGGAGGCAAGTGGGAATGTTGCAATTGGCCAGCATTAGGCATGTGCAATCCATGGTTCTAAATAGTTCTAAAGTACTTACAAAACTAAAGTTCTGGTGGTGAAAACTAGGAGGCGCTGATGCTTTGCTTCTAAAGTGTTGCTAAAGTTCTGGTGGTGAAAATTTCAGAACTCTAACAACATTTTCAAAATTTCATTATAAATGGCAGTTCCTAATTGGTTCTGTCAGAAAAACCATCAATAATGAAATAATAATGAAATTTTGAAAGTTTTGTTAGACTTCTGAAATTTTCACCACCAGAACTTTAGCAACACTGTAGAAGCAAAGCACCAGCGTCCCCTAGTTTTCACCACCAGAACTTTAGTTTTGTAAGTACTTTAGAACCATTTAGAACCATGGATTGCACATGCCTATTAATTAGCACTGAATGGCCCTGCACTTCAAAGCCTGGCTGCTTCCTGCCTGGAGGATCCTTTGTGGGGAGGAGTTAGCTGGCCCCGATTGCAGTATGTTCCACAAGAACAACGTTTTTGCAGAGTTGTTGCAAGGTTTCACAACCTCTGAGGATGCTTGCCATAGATGCAGGCGAAACGTCAAGAGAGAATGCTTCTAGAACATGGTCATATAGCCCGAAAAACCTACAACAACCCAGTGAAAGCCTTCGATGATACATTTTTCACATTTTGTTACATGTTATTATTTATTCCCCTTGTGTGGCAGGACTGCTCATAGAATCATAGAGTTTAAAAGCTTCCAAAGAAGGAGCCTCCACCACACTCCGGGGCAGAGAGTTCCACTGCTGAACAGCTCTCACAGTCAGGAAGTTCTTACTAATGTTCAGGTGGAATCTCTTTTCTTGTAGCCAGAAGCCAGAGTGGATGTCCAAAGAACTTCTAACTGGGCTGAGATTCGAAAGAGACATGCACAAGAAGTGGAAAAAGGGAGAAATCACCAAAGAAGAATTCAAAACATTAAATTACACTGTTAGCCTCAGCTTCTGCCAATCTAGAATCATAGAATTATAGAATCATAGAGTTGGAAGAGACCTCATGGGCCATCCAGTCCAACCCCGTTCTGCCAAGAAGCAGGAATATTGCTTTCAAAGCACCCCTGACAGATGGCCATCCAGCCTCTGTTTAAAAGCTTCCAAAGAAGGAGCCTCCACCACACTCCGGGGCAGAGAGTTCCACTGCTGAACGGCTCTCACAGTCAGGAAGTTCTTCCTAATATTAGGAATGCTGACCGAGAGGTTGGTGGTTCGAATCCGGGGAATGGGGTGAGCTCCCATCTGTCAGCTCCAACTTCCCATGCAGGGAGATGAGAGGAGCCTCCCACAGGATGGGAAAACATCCGGGCATCCCCTAAGCAACGTCCTTGCAGATGACCTGTTCTCTCACACCAGAAGCAACTTGCAGTTTCTCAAGTCGCTCCTGACACGAAAAAAAAATTATTAGATATTATTTTGATTTTGCATTTTATGTATTTTGCTTGGTTCTATTATGTTTTTGTGTTATATTGTTGTATTGTATGGATGGGTGAGGCCTCATGTAAGGCGCACCGAGTCCCCCTGGGGGAGATGGAGCGGGGTATAAATAAAGTTATTATTATTATTATTGTTATTATTATTATTATGAAAGTAAAGTCCAAAACGGGAGCCCCCGGTGGCGCAGTGGATTAAAGCACTGAGCTGCTGAGCTTGTTGATCGAAAGGTTGCAGGTTCGATTCCGGGGAGCGGCGTGAGCTTCCGCTGTCAGCCCTAGCTTCTGCCAACCTAGCAGTTCAAAAACATGCAAATGTGAGTAGATCAATAGGTACCGCTCCGGCGGGAAGGTAACGGCGCTCCATGCAGTCATGCCGGCCACATGACCTTGGAGGTGTCTACGGACAACGCTGGCTCTTCGGCTTAGAAATGGAGATGAGCACCACACCCCAGAGTCGGACATGACTGGACTTAATGTCAGGGGACTACCTTTACCTTAAAGTCCAAAACATTGAAGGGCCAAAGTTTGAGCACTTGGAAGCCAAAATTATGGAGTTAGGGAAAAGGGAATTTTCCGGGGATTCGCACTTCCCCGACCTCCCCATATTGTTTTGTCCCTTCTTGTTTTCTGATGGGCGCTATGTGTTTGTTGGTTTCCCTTAGCTCTCCATGTTGATGCTGCTCTTGGAATACCCCACGCTGCTGTGTCCGGATCCCAGGGCCGGTCAAGAGACGGCGGCTTCCCTCTTGGCCCTATTTGCCCAGCTGGGCTCCTCGCCGACGAAGCTTTGCCTCCGGCGCCACCTCCTCTTCGCGACGTTGACAGTGCTTGTGGCCACGGAAGCCTTCGGCGAGGCGTGCCAGACCTCCCGCGAGTACCTCGCCCTCTTGCTCCACTTGGCTTCCGATCTCAACGACCAACACGGCGGTCAAGCAGAACGTCCCATCCGGACGGCCGCTTGCGAGTGCCTCCACGAGTTAGAAATTGGCTACCCCGGTTTGCTTTCGGGCCGCCTGGAGACCTTGCGCTCCTTCCAACGGCGAGAAGCTTCGCTGGCCCATCAAAGCTACGCCCTTCTTTACGGCGCGGCTTTGCGCAACGCCATCTTGCTTCTGGCGAAGAGCAGCGAGGGGAGCCTTGGGGAGCTATTAGGAGGGAACAAGGAACTCACGTGGGAGGCCGCAAAGGAGCCAGATGAGATTTCCCTAGCCAACCTTGACCAGCTGGTCCTGCTCCCCTCTCCGGGAGACCTCAAGGAGCTGAAGTCGGTCGTCTCGGCCCTTCTAGACAGCTCTTATTTCCTCTCGCCGGCCGCGCAAAGCCACCTCCTTTGGCATCTAGCCCAAGTGGTCAGCGTTGTCCGCACCCAGTCTCCGGCCATCTTCAAAGCCCAGCTGGTGCGCCTCTTCGGCACGGCGGACGTGGCCCTCCAGCACGCCATCCTCCAGCTCAAGGCCCTCTTCACCGACAGCTTGTTTACAGCCGAGGATGAATCGTTCCTGCTCCGTCGCTTAGTCGGGTTGGCCCAGCACCCTGCTTTGCCCACTCCGGTCAAACTCTTCCATCTGGACTGCCTCTTGCACTTTCCGGAGAACCGACCGCTGGGTTCGGGCGCCGACGAAGGCCTTCCCGTCCTGCTCACCCCTCGCACCGCTTCCGGACTCTTCCCAGGTCTTTTCCAGGATCAAGGCACCGTCTTGGCCCGGCTGAATTTGCTGTGCTTGGTGTGCGTCGAGAGCGAGGGCCCCACCGCCGAACGGGGGGCGGCTTACCTCTTAGAGCACGTCTTAGCCCTCGGCGGAGTTGTGGTCCAAGGGGGTGGTCCGGAAGCCGTGCGGCTCTTTTTCCGAGCGGCGTTCCTTTTCGCCCGCTACTTTGGCTCCCGTCCGCAGCCCATAGCGGAGCTCACCCAGTGCTTGCTAGGTCTCTACCGCCACAATTGCGCCCTGGCACCAAATATTATCAACCTATTGGATGAAGCGTGGGGTTCGTTGGAAGATCCTGGCTGGGTCGCCACCCTCGCCCGAGCCTTGCAGGACCTCATTGTGGGCTTCCCCTTGAAAGAGGAGGACTTGGGTTGGCACTTGAAGGTGTTGGCCCGGTTGGCGAAGGAGAAGGACATCCCCCAAGCGAGCACCTTGCGCTTCCTGAGACGCTTAGTTGCTTTAGGTCAACTGGGAGACTGGCGCTCGGGGCAGATCCTCCTCAGGGTGTGCCGAAACCTGATGGAGTTGTGCCGGTCACCCGCTTTGGCCGACTTAGTGGACCTCCTTCAAGCCGTGGCTCTCAAGCACGCGGACACCGACATCCAAGACCGGGCTCGCTTCTACTATACTTTGCTGTCCAACCTCTCTGACGAGAAGCTTGGCGCTGTGTTGGCTCGGGAGGCCCCCGCCAAGGCCCGGACACTCTCCTCGTCCATTGTGGCCGACAGCGAGAGCTTTGTGGCCTCGCTGACCGTTCACCCCATGGAACCAGCTCCCCTTAAGCTGCAGCGGGTGACAAACAGCGGTGATGTCCCCGCCGCCTCTTATCCGGCACACGATGTGGAGGACTATTCCCAGTGGCTATTGGAAGCCCGGCCACCATCACAGCTCTATTTGACGTATCAGTTGGTCCACGTGGGTCCCCGCAGCCCTCCTTTTGACCTCCTGCTCTGCGTAGTGCTCCGTTTCTCGTGCTCCAACCAACACTACGAATTGGTGCCGGAACTGTGCGTGCCGTGCCTCTCGGCACACCGCCCGCCCCAGACGTTAGCACTGAAGCTGACTCCGCGTTGCCCGTACCCAACCCGTGTTGACGTTTCCGCTTTGTACACCACCCAGGAGGGCCTCACTCGCTGCAGCCAACTCGAGCCGGTGGAAGTATCCTTCTGCGACCTCTTTATGCCCCTTTCGGTGCCCGCTTGGCCTTTGGAGAAGCGCCAACGTCTCTTCGGTGCCCTCTGGCAACGGCTCTGCCCTAAGAGTAACGGAGACTGCGGCGAGAGCTTGACCGTCTGGCCAGTGCCGCCGCAGTCTCTCGACGGACTGATGCAAAGCCACTTTGCGAGGTATCTTTTGGCCGACCGCTCCGGGTGCTACGAAATCGGCCTTGCCTTGCCACCTCGGTGCCACGTCCTGCTCCAAGTGCATAGCATTGCGGAATCTGCTCGGGTGGGCATCCGCACGGACAACTGGAAAATCCTGCCATCCCTGAACAGCTACTTACAGAGTCTCATAGGCACGGCATGAAAATTGAGCCTCTCGTCTGGACTCCTGCCAGTGTCCCCTACCTGTCAACATCTTGGTGATCTGTATAAATAAAAATGTAATGTTCGTTTGTGGGATTAGCATAACTCAAAAACCACTGGACGAATTGACACCAAATTTGGACACTACACCCCTAACAGTCCAACAAGTGTCCATCACCCCTAAACACACATACACACAAACAAGAAACCCCAGCGGAACAGACTTAAAACCCCCAAAAATACACCATATATACCTATACACATACACTCATATACACATGCACACATTCATACACACACATGTATGTGTATATATATATATATATATATATATATATATATATATATATGCACAAACACACACAAATATACACATATACACACACATACATATACATACACACAGCATATACACACGCACACACAAATATACATATATACATACATATACACATGCATATACACATATATACACACAAATATGCATATAGACAAGCACACACATATACACAATATGCATATACACATATAAACACACAAATGCACAAATATATAGACACATACATATACATGCACACATATATACATATACACAGGCACACACAAATATACATATATGCATACATATACACATAAATACATAAATATATACACACAAATATGTATATAGACAAGCACACACATATACACAATATGCATGTACACATATAAACACACAAATACATAAATATATATACACACACACACACATACATATATACACAGGCACACACAAATATACATATATACATACATATACACATAAATACACACATATATACACACAAATATGTATATAGACAAGCACACACGTATACACAATATGCATGTACACATATAAACACAGAAATACACAAATATATACACAGATATATATACACACACATATATACCTTCACCTCCAGAGAAGGATTATTATTATGCATTATTATTATTATACATTATTAGTATTATTTTACTGACACAAAACCACAGTATGTCACAGCAAACAAGCTCTATATGCTGGATATCTAGTCCAACCCCCTTCTGCCAAGCAAGAACACACCATCAAAGCCCTCCCAACAGGTGGTCATCCCGCCTCTGCTTAAAAACCTCCAAAGAAGGATTATTATTATACATCATCATCATCATCATCATCATTATACATTATTGCTATTATTATACATAATAATAATTATCATTATTATTATACATTATTATTATTATTATTATTATTATTATTATTATTATTACTACTATTTTATTGACACAAAACCACAGTATGTGGTTATCCAGCTCTATATGCTGGATATCTAGTCCAACCCCCTTCTGCCAAGCAGGAAGACACCATCAAAGCCCTCCCGACAGATGGCCATCCATCCTCTGCTTGAATACCTCCAGAGAAGGATTATTATTATACATTATTATTATTATTATTTTACTGACACAAAACCACAGTATGTCACAGCAAACAAGCTCTATATGCTGGATATCTAGTCCAACCCCCTTCTGCCAAGCAGGAAGACACCATCAAAGCCCTCCCAACAGATGGCCATCCATCCTTGCTTGAAAACCTCCAAAGAAGGATTATTATTATACATCATCATCCTCATCATCATCATTATTATACATTGCTATTATTATACATTATTATTATTATTATTATTATTATTTTACTGACACAAAACCACAGTATGTCACAGCAAACAAGCTCTATATGCTGGATATCTAGTCCAACCCCCTTCTGCCAAGCAGGAAGACACCATCAAAGCCCTCCCAACAGATGGCCATCCAGCCTCTGCTTTAAAAATGCCATAATTTTTAGATGTGTCACTTCTCTTCCTTACAGGGACGAACAATGTGCAAGCCCAGTTGTTGGATTGCAACTCCCATCATCTATCTGTAGTTTTGCAAGTACTTTTTGAGACTTCTCTGCCAACTCCTAGGGTTGCAAAGCATAGAGCCTTCAGCAGGACTTCAATTCCCAGAAGCCTCCGCTGCCTTGGCCAATGGGGGGGGATCCTGGGAGTTGAAGTCCCAAATCCCTGGGAAGGCTGCAGACTGAGAGGGGAGGAGCCAGGACTGGAGGAGGAGGAAGGAAGGAAGGCAAGAGGCAACCTCATGGCGACCAGGCTGGCTTTGGCTTCCTTGGCAGAGGCTCCTCGGGAAGCCATGCATTTCCTCCCCTGTGAGATCCAGCATGATGGGGAAGCTGCCATCCGGAAGTACTTCTCTCCAGCCATCAGGGGGCCAGACCAGGCCAATGGTAAGTCCCTTCTGCCATGCCAGGAGACACCATCAAAGCCCTCCCAACAGATGGCCATCCAGCCTCTGCTTAAAGAGCCTCCAGAGAAAGAGACTCCACCAACCTCCAAGGCAGTTTATATCCCACTAGAGAACCCCAAAGGCCATCCATTCCACCCCCTTTCTGCCATGCCAGGAGACACCATCAAAGCCCTCCCAACAGATAACCATCCAGCCTCTGCTTTCAAAGCCTCCAGGGAAAGAGACTCCACCAACTTCCAAGGCAGTTTATATCCCACTAGAGAACCCCAAAGGCCATCCATTCCACCCCCTTTCTGACTTGCCAGGAGACACCATCAAAGCCCTCCCAACAGATGGCCATCCAGCCTCTGCTTAAAGAGCCTCCAGAGAAAGAGACTCCACCAACCTCCAAGGCAGTTTATATCCCACTAGAGAACCCCAAAGGCCATCCATTCCACCCCCTTTCTGCCATGCCAGGAGACACCATCAAAGCCCTCCCAACAGATAACCATCCAGCCTCTGCTTTCAAAGCCTCCAGAGAAAGAGACTCCACCAACCTCCAAGGCAGTTTATATCCCACTAGAGAACCCCAAAGGCCATCCATTCCACCCCCTTTCTGCCATGCCAGGAGACACCATCAAAGCCCTCCCAACAGATAACCATCCAGCCTCTGCTTTCAAAGCCTCCAGGGAAAGAGACTCCACCAACTTCCAAGGCAGTTTGTATCCCACTAGAGAACCCCAAAGGTCATCCACTCCACCCCCTTTCTGACTTGCCAGGAGACACCATCAAAGCCCTCCCAACAGATGGCCATCCAGCCTCTGCTTAAAGAGCCTCCAGAGAAAGAGACTCCACCAACCTCCAAGGCAGTTTGTATCCCACTAGAGAACCCCAAAGGTCATCCACTCCACCCCCTTTCTGACTTGCCAGGAGACACCATCAAAGCCCTCCCAACAGATGGCCATCCAGCCTCTGCTTAAAGAGCCTCCAGAGAAAGAGACTCCACCAACCTCCAAGGCAGTTTGTATCCCACTAGAGAACCCCAAAGGTCATCCACTCCACCCCCTTTCTGACTTGCCAGGAGACACCATCAAAGCCCTCCCAACAGATGGCCATCCAGCCTCTGCTTAAAGAGCCTCCAGAGAAAGAGACTCCACCAACCTCCAAGGCAGTTTGTATCCCACTAGAGAACCCCAAAGGTCATCCACTCCACCCCCTTTCTGACTTGCCAGGAGACACCATCAAAGCCCTCCCAACAGATGGCCATCCAGCCTCTGCTTAAAGAGCCTCCAGAGAAAGAGACTCCACCAACCTCCAAGGCAGTTTATATCCCACTAGAGAACCCCAAAGGCCATCCATTCCACCCCCTTTCTGCCTTGCCAGAAGACACCATCAAAGCCTTCCCAACAGATGGCCATCTAGTCTCTGCTTTCAAAGCCTCCATAGAAAGAGACTCCACCAACCTCCAAGGCAGTTTATATTCCACTAGAGAACCCCAAAGGTCATCCATTCCTCCTCCTTTCTGCCTTGCCAGGAGACACCATCAAAGCCTTCCCAACAGATGGCCATCTAGTCCCTGCTTAAAAAGCCTCCATAGAAAGAGACTCCACAAATCTCCAAGGCAGTTTATATCCCACTAGAGAACCCCAAAGGCCACCCATTCCACCCCCTTTCTGCCATGCCAGGAGACACCATCAAAGCCTTCCCAACAGATGGCCATCTAGTCTCTGCTTAAAAAGCCTCCAGAGAAAGGAACTCTATCATCATCACCATAGATTATGACTATAAATAACACTATTTAAGAAAATTTGGGGAAAAAAATCTGGTTTGAAAGTGCTATTTCCTGTTTAAGCAGAGGCTGGATGGCCATCTGTTGGGAGGGCTTTCATGGTGCCTTTCGCCTGGCAAAAAGGGACTGGACTGGATGGCCCTTGGGGTGTCTCTTCCAACATTAGGATCCTATAATAATAATAATGATGAAGTTAATGATAATAGGGTTTCTGTCCATGTTCCAGAAGCATTCTCTCCTGACGTTTCGCCCACATCTTCAATCACCGAGTTAGACTTAGGAGACCTGACTCAACCATCAAACTCACTGGGTTACGAAAGACTATAATATCAATGGGTTCAAATGGCTGGAAACGAAATTTAGTTCTGCCAAAACTAAAGTTCTGGTGGTGAAAATTTCAGAACTCTAACAAAACTCTCAAAATTTCATAATAAATGGCAGTTCCTAATTGGTTCTGTCATAAAATCACCAATAATGAAATAATAATTAAATTTTGAAAGTTTTGTTAGAGTTCTAAAATTTTCACCACTAGAACTTTAGTTTTGGCGGAACTAAATTTCGTTTCCAGCCATTTGAACCCATTGATATTATAGTCTTTCGTAACCCGGTGAGTTTGATGGTTGAGTGGGGTCTCCTAAGTCTAACTCACAATGTTTGGAGACCTGGTCAATCCATGCTTCTAAAGTACTTACAAAACTAAAGTTCTGGTGGTGAAAATTTCAGAACTCTAACAAAACTCAAAATTTCATTATAAATGGCAGTTCCTAATTGGTTCTATCATAAAAAATGAAATAATGAAATAATAATTAAATTTTGAAAGTTTTGTTAGAGTTCTAAAATTTTCACCACTAGAACTTTAGTTTTGGTGGAACTAAATTTCGTTTCCAGCAATTTGAACCCATTGATATTATAGTCTTTCATAACCCGGTGAGTTTGATGGTTGATGGTTGAGTGGGGTCTCCTAAGTTTAACTCAACCCATCACTTGGACTTCTCTCCCACCAACAGAGTCATCGGTCTCCTTTCGTGGGCGAAGTCTAAAAGGGGTGAATGTCTCCGTTCCAGAAGGATATGTTGGACTTGTTTTGGAGAAGGATGTGACGCCGCTGTTGTCGTCAGAGGTGAGTCCATGGCTGGGTTCGAATCCTAGTTGGAAGAGACCCCAAGAACCATCTTCTGCCAGGCAGGACACCTTCCAAACCCTCCCGGCAGATGGCCATCCATCCTCTGCTTCAGATCCTCCACAGAAGGGAACTCCACCAGATTCCCAAGCAGCATATTCCACCAGGAAGTTCTTCCGAATCACATTTCCTGTAATTTGAATCCATTGTGTCTCAGTCTCTAAAGGAGGCATGGGCAAACTTTGGCTCTCCAGGTGTTTTGGATTCCAACTCCCATAATTCCTAACAGCCGGTAGGTCTCACAACCTTCCCTCCCTCTTTCTCTCCTTCCTTCCCTCCTCTTTTCCTTCTTTTCCCTCTTTTTCTTTCCTTCTTCTTTCTTCCTTCACTCTGTTTCTTTCCTCCTTCCTTTGCTCTTTGGTTCCATCCTTCCTTGTCTCTCTTTCCTTCCTTTCCTCCCTCTTTCTCCTTTCGTTCCGTCTCTCCTTCCTTCCTTTTTCATTTTTTTATTTCCTTCGCTCCTTCCTTCTCTCTTTCCTTCTCTCTTTCCTCTTTCTCTCCCTCCTTCCTTCTCTACCCTTCTTCTTCCTTCTCTCTTTCCCTCCTTCTTTCCTCCTTCTCTCCTTCCTTCTTTACCCTTTTCTTTCCTTCTTTCTTCCTCCTTCTTCCCTCTTTCTCCCTCCTTCCTTCCTTCCTTCTCTACCCTTCTTTCTTTCCTTCCTTCTCTCCTTCCCTCCTTCTTTCTCTTTCTCTCCCTCCTTCCTTCTCTACCCTTTTTCTTTCCTTCTTTCTCTCCCCTCCTTCTCTCCCTCCTTCTTACTTCCCCCTTTCTGTGTGTGTTCTCTCTGTGTGCATTTTCCTTCACTGGACCAAATTTGGCACGAAAACCCAGTATGCTCAAATTGGAATACTGGTAGTATTGGCGATTGATTTTGTCCCTTGGGAGTTGTAGTTGCTGGGATTTATAGTTCACCTACAATCAAAGAGCATTCTGAACCCACCAATGATGGAATTGAACCAAACTTGGCACACAGTTCTCCCATGACCAACAGAAAATACTGGAAGGGTGTCCTTTGGTTTTGGAGTTGTAGTTCACCTACATCCAGAGATCACTGTGGACTCAAACAATGATGGATCTGGACCAAACTCTACACGAACACTCAATATGCCCAAATGTGAACACTGGTGGAGTTTGGGAAAATAGTCCTTGACATTTGGGAGTTGTAGTTGCTGGGATTTATAGTTCACCTACAATCACAGAGCATTCTGAACCCCACCAACGATAGAATTGGGCCAAACCTCCCACACAGAACCCTCATGTGGGCCACAGCAACGCATGGCAGGGGACAGCTAGTAGTAGTAGTAGTAATAGTAATAATAATAATAATAATAATAATAATAATAATAATGGAATGTGTCCAGAGAGGGCAACTAAAATGATCAAGGGTCTGGAGAACAAGCCCTATGAGGAGGCTTAAAGAGCTGGGCGTGTTTAACCTGAAGAAGAGAAGGCAGTGAATTTAATGCTTTGAATTCTTCTTTGGTGATTTCTCCCTTTTTCCCCCCAGAAGATTCCAAGCCCAAACTAATTCCAAGGATTCACCCATCACCATTTCCGTAAACCCTGAAAAATTCCATTCCCTCCAAACCTTCCAAACCCACCAACCGCCACCACATTCCAGCAAACCGGACACAACATAGCAGCTTAAAGAGCTGGGCATGTTGAGCTAACAGTGTAATTTAATGCTTTGAATTCTTCTTTGGTGATTTCTCCCTTTTTCCACTTCTTGTGCATGTCTCTTTGGAGTCTCAACCCAGTTAGAAGTTCTTTGGACATCCATTCTGGCTTCTGGCTACAAGAAAAGAGATTCCACCTGAACATGAGGAAGAACTTCCTGACTGTGAGAGCTGTTCAGCAGTGGAACTCTCTGTCCCTGAGTGTGGTAGAGGCTCCTTCTTTGAAAGCTTTTCAATAGAGGCTGGATGGCCATCTGTCGGGGGTGCTTTGAATGCAATTTTCCTGCTTCTTGGCAGAAAGGGGTTGAACTGGATGACCAACTGTATTATTTGATGATAATTTCAGTCTCCTGTCTCTGAATTGCCGCTATCTAGGACAAACTATTATTATTATGATTATTTGTAGGACAAAGAGCTGCATGTCAAGTCGACCTTCGAATCTCTGACCGTATGGAACCTGGAACAGGCACCGAAGAACACAGATGAGATCCTAATGGCTCTCCATTGGCCAGAGATTGCCGAAGGGGTGAGTGCTTAAAGATCCAATGTTGCTAAAGTTCTGCTGGTGAAAATTTCAGAACTCTAACAAAATTTCAAAAAAAAAATCATTATAAATGGCAGTTACTAATTGGTTCTGTCATAAAAATAATCAATAATGAAATAATAATGAAATTTTGAAACTTTTGTTAGAGTTCTGAAATTTTCACCACCAGAACTTTAGCAACACTGTAGAACAGTGTTTCTCAACCTTCCTAATGCCGCAACCCCTTAATATAGCGCCTCATGTTGTGGTAACCCCCAACCATAAAATTATTATCATTGCTACTTCCCAACGGTATCATTGCTACTTCCCAACGGTATCATTGCTACTTCCCAACGGTATCATTGCTACTTCCCAACGGTATCATTGCTACTTCCCAACGGTATCATTGTTACTTTCTATCGCTCTCATTGCTACTTCCCAACGGTATCATTGTTACTTCCTATCGCTATCATTGCTACTTCCCAACGGTATCATTGCTACTTCCTAACGGTATCATTGCTACTTCCCAACGGTATCATTGCTACTTCCTAACGGTATCATTGCTACTTCCTAACGGTATCATTGCTACTTCCCAACGGTATCATTGCTACTTCCTAACGGTAATTGTGTTACTGTTATGAATCATAATGAAAATATCTGAAATGCAGGATGTATTTTCATTCACTGGACCAAATTTGGCACAAATATCCAATAACGGAGCTCCATGCAGTCATGTCGGCCTTGGAGGTGTCTATGGACAACACCAGCTCTTTGGCCTAGAAATTGAGCACCAACACCCAGACTTAATGTCAGGGGAAAACTTTCACTTTACCTTACCCAATATGCCAAATTTCAATACTGGTGGGGTTGGAGGGAGAATTGACTTTGTCATTTGGGAGTTGTAGTTCCTGGGATTTATAGTTCACCTACAATCAATGAGCATTCTGAACCCCACCAATGATGGAACTGAACGAAACTTGGCGCACAGAACTCCCATGACCAAGAGAAAATACTGGAAGTGTTTGGTAGGCATTGACCTTGAGTTTTGGAGTTGTAGTTCATCTGCATCCAGATAGCACTGTGGACACAAACAATGATGGATCTGGATCAAACTTGGCATGGAAACTCAATATGCCCAAATGTGAACACTGGTTGAGTTTGGGGGAAATAGACCTTGACATTTGGGAGTTGTCGTTGCTGGGATTTATAGTTCACTTACAAAGAAAGAGCACTCTGAATCCCGTCAACGATAGAATTGGGCCAAACTTCCCACATAGAACCCCCATGACCAACAGAAAATATTGTGTTTTTTGATGGTCTTTGGTGACTCCTCTGATACCCCCTCGCAACCCCCTCAGGGGTCCTGACCCCCAGGTTGAGAAACACTGCTGTAGAACTGCCATTTATAATGAAATTTTACATTTTTTGTTAGAGTTCTGAAATTTTCACCACCAGAACTTTAGCAACACAGTAGAAGCAAAGCACCAGCTCCCCCTAGTGTTCACCACCAGAACTTTAGTTTTGTAAGTGCTTTAGAAGCCTGGATTGCACATGCCTAGTAATCAACGTCCTTCTCTCTCTGCTTCAAGATCCATTCTGCCGTGCCTGACGAAGAATGAGAACCATTCCAGAGCGATGGAAGTCCATACTGAAGATTCAGCATCTGGATTTCCGTCGGCGCCAGAAGAAAGAAGACTTCTCCCGCAGCCCCTTCTCCACCTTACGCTCCAAGGTGACTCGGAACAGATAGAACCTGACTCGATGCTTTCCATTTTTTCTATTTAGTCATTAAAGAGTTTTATTTTAACCCATATTGTAAGTGGATGATGTGTAAAGCTTTTGAAGGCAAAGGAGATGCCTGTTCTTGGTGCCCGTTGTCATAAACTATGTATGGAACTGGATTGATTCTTGTGTTTTCTGGCTGGGAACTATGAGCTGCATCCCTAACCCTTTCCCTCCTTTTTGCATTCTTCCTACATTCCTTCTTTCTTCTCCTTACCCTTTCCTTTCTTTCCATTCCCCTTCCTTCCTTCTGATGTTACAACTTTTCTTCCTTCCTTCCTAGAAGGAAAAAATTGGAAGAGAGCACATGGGCATCCTCTCCAACTTGCCAACTTGCTTTCCTTCCTTCTTCAGAGTAATAGTGACCTTCTGGCAAGGAAACTAGTCCAATGTGGGCTAGGCAAAACTACGGTGAGGTGGTCTGTAATTGGTTAAATGGACGAACCCAGAGGGTGCTCACCAATGCTTCCTCTTCATCCTGGAAAGAAGTGACGAGCGGAGTGCCACAGCAGGGTTCCGTCCTGGGCCCGGTCCTGTTCAACATCTTTATTAATGACTTAGATGAAGGGCTAGAAGGCAGGATCATCAAGTTTGCAGACGACACCAAACTGGGAGGGAGAGCCAATACTCCAGAGGACAGGAGCAGGATTCAAAACGATCTTGACAGATTAGAGAGATGGGCCAAAACTAACAAAAGGAAGTTCAACAGTGACAAATGCAAGATACTCCACTTTGGCAGGAAAAACGAAATGCAAAGATACAGAATGGGGGATGCCTGGCTCGAGAGCAGTACGTGTGAAAAAGATCTTGGAGTCCTCGTGGACAACAAGTTAAACATGAGCCAACAATGTGATGTGGCAAAAAAAAGCCAATGGGATTTTGGCCTGCATCAATAGGAGCATAGTGTCTAGATCTAGGGAAGTAATGCTACCCCTCTATTCTGCTTTGGTTAGACCACACCTGGAATATTGTGTCCAATTCTGGGCACCACACTTCAAGAGAGATATTGACAAGCTGGAATGTGTCCAGAGGAGCGACTAAAATGATCAAGGGTCTGGAGAACAAGCCCTATGAGGAGCGGCTTAAGAGCTGGGCATGTTTAGCCTGAAGAAGAGAAGAGAGGAGATATGATAGCCATGTATAAATATGTGAGAGGAAGCCACAGGAGGAGGGAGCAAGCTTGTTTTCTGCTTCCCTGGAGACTAGGACGCGGAGCAATGGCTTCAAACTACAAGAGAGGAGATTCCATCTGAACATGAGGAAGAACTTCCTGACTGTGAGAGCCGTTCAGCAGTGGAACTCTCTGCCCCGGAGTGTGGTGGAGGCTCCTTCTTTGGGAAGCTTTTAAACAGAGGCTGGATGGCCATCTGTCAGGGGTGATTTGAATGCAATATTCCTGCTTCTTGGCAGAATGGGGTTGGACTGGATGGCCCATGAGGTCTCTTCCAACTCTTTGATTCTATGATTCTATATAGAAACCTCCACAACCATCCTTTCTCCTTTCTTCCTTCCTTCCTTCCTTCCTTCCTTCCTTCCTTCCTTCCTTCCTTCCTTCCTTCCTTCCTTCCTTCCTCTTAGAGTAATATAAACCACAACTGCCATCTTTTTCTCTTTCTTTCGCTTTCTTTTTCTTTTCCTTCCTTCCTGCCATGCTTTCTTTCTTTCTTTCCTTAAGTAACAGAAACCACAACAGCCATCCTTTATTTCCTTCTTTCCTTCCTCTTTCTTCCTTCCTTAGAGTATTATAAACTCTAATTGCCATCCTTTTCTTTTTCATTTCCTTCCTTCCTGCCATGCTTTCTTTCTTTCCTTCCTTGAGTGACAGAAACCACAACTGCCATCCTTTTTCTTTCTTTCTCTTTCTCTTTCTTTTCCTTCCTTCCTGCCATGCTTTCTTTCTTTCCTTCCTTGAGTGACAGAAACCACAACTGCCATCCTTTATTTCCTTTATTTCCTCCCTCCCTCCCTCCCTTAGAGTATTATAAACCACAACTGCCATCCTTTTCTTCTTTTTCTTTCTTTCTTTTCCTTCCTTCCTGCCATGCTTTCTTTCTTTCCTTCCTTAAGTAACAGAAACCACAACTGCCATCCTTTATTTCCTTCCTTCCTTCCTCTTCCTTCTTTCCTTAGAGTATTATAAACCACAACTGCCATCCTTTTCTTTCTTTCTTTCTTTCTTTCTTTCTTTCTTTCTTTCTTTCTTTCTTTCTTTCTTTCTTTTTCTTTTTTTCTTTCTTTCCTTCTTTCTTTTCCTTCCTTCCTGCCATGATTTCTTTCTTTCTTTCCTTCCTTGAGCAACAGAAACCACAACTGCCATCCTTTCTTTTCTCTTCCTTCGTTCTTAGAGTAATATAAACCACAACAGCAATCCATCCTTCCTACCCTACCCTACCCTTCCTTCCTCTTTTTTATTCCTTTCTTGAGTAATATAAACCACAAATGCCATCCTTTTCTTTTTCTTTCTTTTCCTTCCTTCCTTCCTTCCTTCTTAGTAATATAAACCACAACTGCCATCCTTTATTTCCTTCCTTCCTTCCTCTTCCTTCCTTCGAGTAATATAAACCTCAACAGCCATCCTTTTGTCTTTCTTTCTTTTCTTTTCCTTCCTTCCTGCCATGCTTTCTTTCCTTCTTAGAGTAATATAAACCACGACAGACATCCTTTATTTCCTTCTTTCCTTATTCTTCCTTCCTTCCTTCGAGTATTGTAAACTCTAATTGCCATCCTTTTCTTTCTTTTTTTCTTTCTTTTCCTTCCTTCCTGCCATGCTTTTTCTTTCCTTCCTTAAGTAACAGAAACCACAACTGCCATCCTTTTCTTTCTTTCTTTCTTTCTTTCTTTCTTTCTTTCTTTCTTTCTTTCTTTCTTTCTTTCTTCTTTCTTCTTTTCCTTCCTTCCTGCCATGCTTTCTTTTCTTCCTTCCTTAAGTAACAGAAACCACAACTGCCATCCTTTATTTCCTTCCTTCATTCCTCTTCCTTCCTTAAAGTATTATAAACCACAACTGCCATCCTTTTCTTTCTCTCTTTCCCTTCCTTCCTTCCTTCCTGCCTGCCATGCTTTCTTTCTTTCCTTCCTTGAGTGACAGAAACCACAACTGCCATCCTTTCTTTATTTCCTTCCTCTTCCTTCCTCCCTTAGAGTATTATAAACCACAACTGCCATCCTTTTCTTTCTTTTCTTTTCCTTCCTTCCTGCCATGCTTTCTTTCTTTCCTTCCTTAAGTAACAGAAACCACAACTGCCATCCTTTATTTCCTTCCTTCCTTCCTCTTCCTTCTTTCCTTAGAGTATTATAAACCACAACTGCCATCCTTTTCTTTCTTTCTTTCTTTTTCTTTCTTTCTTTCTTTGCCTGCCATGCTTTTTCTTTCCTTCCTTGAGTAACAGAAACCACAACTGCCATCCTTTCTTTTCCCTTCCTTCCTTCTTAGAGTAATATAAACCACAACAGCAATCCTTCCTTCCTTCCTTTTTCTCTTTTTAATTTCTTTCTTGAGTAATATAAACCACAACAGCCATCCTTTCTTTCCTTTCTTTTTCTTTCTTTTCCTTTCTTTCTTTCTTTTCTTTCTTCTCTTTTCTCTTCCTTCCTTCCTTCCTTCCTTCCTTTCCTTCCTTCCTTCCTTCCTTTCCCCTATCTCTCCTTCCTTCCTTCCTTCCTTCATTCCTTTCCTTCCTTCCCTTCCTTCTTCCTTCCTTCCTTCCTTCTCCATCCTCTCCTTCCTTCCTTCCTTCCTTCCTTCCTTCCTTCCTTCCTCGCTTCCTCTCCCCTCTTCTTCCTTCTCTCTTCCTTCCTTCCTTCCTTCCTTCCTTCCTTCCTTCCTTCCTTCCTTCTTCTATGAGGAGTGGCCGCTGTCTAATCCTTTTCTTCCTTCCTTCCTTCGAGTAATGTAAACCACAACTGCCATCCTTTCCTTCCTTCCTTCCTTCCTTCCTTCCTTCCTTCCTTCCTTCCTTCGAGTAATGTAAACCATAACTGCCATCCTTTTCTTCCTTCCTTCCTTCGAGTAATGTAAACCACAACTGCCATCTTCTTCTTCCTTCCTTCCTTCCTTCCTTCCTTCCTTCCTTCCTTCCTTCCTTCCTTCCGAGTAATGTAAACCACAACTGCCATCCTCTCCTTCCTTCCTTCCTTCCTTCCTTCCTTCCTTCCTTCCTTCGAGTAATGTAAACCACAACTGCCATCCTTTTCTTCCTTCCTTCCTTCGAGTAATGTAAACCACAACTGCCATCCTTTTCTTCCTTCCTTCCTTCCTTCCTTCCTTCCTTCCTTCCTTCCTTCCTTCCTTCCGAGTAATGTAAACCACAACTGCCATCCTCTCCTTCCTTCCTTCCTTCCTTCCTTCCTTCCTTCCTTCCTTCCTTCCTTCCTTCCTTCCGAGTAATGTAAACCACAACTGCCATCCTCTTCTTCCTTCCTTCCTTCCTTCGAGTAATGTAAACCACAACTGCCATCCTTTCCTTCCTTCCTTCCTTCCTTCCTTCCTTCCTTCCTTCCTTCCTTCCTTCGAGTAATGTAAACCACAACTGCCATCCTTTTCTTCCTTCCTTCCTTCGAGTAATGTAAACCACAACTGCCATCCTTTTCTTCCTTCCTTCCTTCCTTCCTTCCTTCCTTCCTTCCTTCCTTCCTTCCTTCCTTCCGAGTAATGTAAACCACAACTGCCATCCTCTCCTTCCTTCCTTCCTTCCTTCCTTCCTTCCTTCCTTCCTTCCTTCCGAGTAATGTAAACCACAACTGCCATCCTCTTCTTCCTTCCTTCCTTCCTTCGAGTAATGTAAACCACAACTGCCATCCTTTCCTTCCTTCCTTCCTTCCTTCCTTCCTTCCTTCCTTCCTTCCTTCCTTCCTTCCTTCCTTCCTTCGAGTAATGTAAACCACAACTGCCATCCTTTTCTTCCTTCCTTCCTTCGAGTAATGTAAACCACAACTGCCATCCTTTTCTTCCTTCCTTCCTTCGAGTAATGTAAACCACAACTGCCATCCTTTCCTTCCTTCCTTCCTTCCTTCCTTTCCTTCCTTCCTTCCTTCCTTCCTTCCTTCCTTCCTTCCTTCCTTCCTTCCTTCCTTCCTTCGAGTATTATAAACCACAACTGCCATCCTTTTCTTTTCTTTTCCTTCCTTCCTGGCATGCTTTCCTTCCTTAAATAACAGAAACCACAACTGCCATCCTTTCTTTTCCCTTCCTTCCTTTTTAGAGAAATATAAACAACCGCCATCCTTCCTTCCTTTCTTTTTTCATTCCTTTCTTGACTAAAAAAACCCACAACAGCCAGCCTTTTCTTTCTTTTCTCTTCCTTCCTTCCTTAGAGTAATATAAACCACAACTGCCATCCTTTTCTTTTTTGCTTCCTTTCTTTTCCTTCCTTCTTAGAATTATATAAGCCACAACAGCCATCCTTCCTTCCCTCCCTTTCCTTCCTTTCTTCCCTCCTTCTTAGAGAACTACAAACCACAACAGCCAGCCAGCCAGCCAGCCATCCATCCAACCTTAAATTACTACAAACCACAACAGCAATCCTTCCCTTTCCTTCCCTCTTTCCTTCCTTCCTTCCTTCCTTCCTTGAGTACTGCAAACCACAACAGCTATACTTCCTTCCCACCCAACCTCCGTCTTTCCTTCCTTCCTTCCTTCCTTCCTTCTTAGAGAACTACAAACCACAACAGCCTGCCTTCCTTCCTTCCCTCTTTCCTTCCCTTTGTCTTCCTTCCTTCTTAGAGTAATATAAACCACAAGAGCTTCCCTTCCTTCCTTGAGTAACAGAAACCACAACTGTCTTCCTTCCCTTCCCTTCCCTTCCCTTCCCTTCCCTTCCCTTCCCTCCTTCTTAGAGAACTACAAACCACAACAGCCTGCCTGCCTTCCTTCCTTCTCTTTCCTTCCTTCATTCCCTCTTTCTTGTCTTCCTTCCTTCTTAGAGTAATATAAACCACAACAGCTTCCCTTCCTTGAGTAACAGAAACCACAACTGTCATCCTTTCCTTTACTTCCTTCCTTCCTTCCTTCCTTCCTTCCTTAATAGAAATCAAACTGCCATCTTTGCTTCCTTTTCCACTTCCCTCCCTTCCTCCTCTCTTTCCTTCCTTTAGAGTAATATAGAACACAATGGCCATCCTTCCTTCCTGTCTGTCTTTCATTCGTTCGTCCGTCCTTCCTTCCTTCCTCTCTCTCTTTCCTCTCTCTCTCTCTTCTTCTTTCTTTTCTTCTTTCCTTCCTCTCTCTCTCCTCTTCTTCCTTCCTTCCTTCCTTCCTCTCTCTCTCTCTCTTCTTTCTTTCTTTCTTTCTTTCTTTCTTAGATTAATAGAATTGGTGTTTCAAAGCTACTGTCGGTTTTGGTTTAACGAATGAGAAGATGGCAGGGGCAAATGTATATTTGAAATACAGCTTAGCCCTCGTTCCCTTCCTCAAATAATGACAGCAATACACTTTATATATATATATAGAAAAAAGACGTCGTTAATTTATTCTATTCCCAGATATCCGGGGCGGAGGGTGTCAAGGGCCAGCTCCAAGCTGTGCTTCATAAGGATCCTTCCTTTGGCGAAGTCGCAGAATTTCCTCCTTTTTTTTTGCGAGTAGGTGATTCAAAATGGGGATCTCTATGAATACTTGATTGCGTGGAAGTTCCAGGCCCCAAAGCTCTAGATTTTTGCTGTGTTTCTTTTTTTAGACATTATAAATATTAACAAAAGTTGGGGGAAAAGGTGGCAAAGGGGAGCTGGTCTGTGCTTTTTCAGCTTCTGTACACAACCGATTGCAGCGTTCCTGCAAAAGGGCCATTTCGGATATATATACAAACCCAGCGTCCGGGGAGAGAGGTCCGGCCAGGCAACAGTCCCTTCTTCATAGAGGAAAATAACAAGTCTTTCCAAGACCACAAAGGCCCTCTTCCCTGATCCTTGTCCAGAATATGGAGGGGAAGAGCTTCAAAACAACCCCCCCCCCCCTCTTTCCCCAGTTTTGCCATCACCATTTCCCTCTTTTGCTCCAGTCTTTGGGAGTGAAATGCAGGCATTTGGAGTCGATGCGCAGGATTCGCTTGAGCATTGCACGCTCGTGTCCATCCACAATGTCCTCTGAGAGTGTCAAGATGTACTGGCCCTAGAAGGGAATTTAAAAAGGTTTATTTTTAAATCATCATCATCATCATTTAATAACTTATTAATCGCTCCAGGCGATTTACAGCTAAATTATAAAAGATAATATACATACAAAAATTAAAAATCCACAGAGATCGAATGCTCTAGTAAAAAGCCAGGTCTTGAGTGCGAGAGTAAAAGGCCCTAAGTCACGCATGGCTCTCATGTAGGGCGGCAAGGAATTCCACAAGGCAGGGGCAGAAATAGAAAAAGCCCTGCGCCTGGTCCTTTCCAAGTGCACTTCTCTAGGACCCGGTATATGGAGTAAGTCACGTTGGGCTGGTCGTTGCGACCTCCGATGAGGGGAGAAGGAGAGGCGGTCCCTAAGGTACGATGGACCCTGGCCGTAAAGAGTTTTAAAGGTCAGAACTAGCATCTTATACAGGCCACGGTACTCAGTTGGAAGCCAATGTAAATGTTGCAGCACTGGTGTTCTATGGCATTTCATGGGCGTTCTTGTGAGTAACCTGGCTGCCGCATTCTGAACAATATGGAGCTTTCGGGTCGTAGACATCGGAAGGCCAACATACAGGGCGTTGCAATAGTCCAGCCTAGACGTGACCGTGGCATGGATGACCGTTGCCAGAGCCTCGTCAGATAGGTAGGGTGCCAGTTGCCTCACTTGTCGTAGATGGAAAAAGGCCTGTTTGCTGGCAGCAGCGACCTGAGCTTCCATTGTCAGCTGCGAATCCAGGATGACACCTAAGCTCTTAACAGTGGTCGATGGAGATAGGGCGGCACCATCGAAGGTGGGTAATGGAGGAGTCAGACCTGCCGGGCGGCCATGCCAGAGAATCTCAGTCTTCGCCGGGTTCACCTTCAGTCTGCTAGCACGTAGCCAGTTTGACAGAGCTTCCAGACATAGGGTGAAATTGTCTGGAATTGACATTGCTCCAGGCTCCAGGCGCAGAAGGAGTTGGGTATCGTCTGCATATTGGTAGCAGTCCAGGCCGAAACTCCGAGCCAAACTAGCAAGGGGTCTAACGTAGATGTTGAAGAGAAGAGGAGAGAGAATTGCACCTTGGGGGACCCCACATAGGAGGGGGGATCTATCGGAGACTTGATCCATGTACTCCACGCGTTGACTCCGGTTCTGGAGAAATGAGTTGAACCAATTGAGGGCCTGACCACGAACTCCGGACATGGCAAGACGGTGAATCATTAGATCGTAGTCGACGGTGTCAAACGCTGCGGTAAGGTCGAGAAGTACCAATAGCGCGGATCCACCGTTGTCAGACTGGCGACGGAGTTCATCCGTAATGGCAGCCAGGACTGTCTCCGTCCCATGGCCCGGGCGAAAACCTGACTAGAAAGGGTCCGGGCCAGCTGTGTCATCCAGGAATTGTTGCAATTGTCCCAGTACAGCCCGCTCTATCACCTTGCCTAAGAATGGCAGATTAGAAACAGGACGGTAATTGGCAAGGGTCATAGGATCCAAGTTAGGTTTCTTTAACAAGGGACGAACCCTTGCCTCTTTTAGGTTGTCCGGAAAACGCCCCTGTTCAAGAGAGCCATTGATTATACTGGGCAACGGATTGAGCAGACCTTCCAAGCAGCTCTTGATCAGCCAAGAGGGGCACGGATCAAGAGAACAGGTGGTTGCTTTTGCAGTAGCCAAAATTCTGGCGACATCCTCCGTGTCCTCCGTGTGAAGCGGTGTAAATTGATCAAAGATAGGCCCACTAAGCAGCCACAAGGTCTCCAGCTCACTCAAAGTGTCGACTGTGGGAGGGAGTTCCTGCCGAAGCATGGTGATTTTGTTAGTGAAAAATTCCTGGAATGCCAAAGCTGTAATAGGCACAGTTGTTGGGTTCTGGACTAAAGGAGCCGGACTCATCAAGGCACGAACAATTTTGAATAACTGTGCTGGGCGCGATCTAGCAGAGGCTATTAAGGAAAAATTATAAGATTTTTTAGTCCTCATAGAGGAAGTAATGGTATATTATTATTATCATTATTATTAAAATAATAATAATATATAGAGATAATAATAATAATAATAATCCTTTATTTATACCCCGCTAACATCTCCCGAAGGACTCGGTGCGGCTTACAAGAGGCCGAGGCCCAACATATCAGTAAAACAACAGCACAACAAATACAATAAATAAACTCATAAAAATAAATAAACTCATAAAACAAAGCAATAAACATTAAAACAATAGCAATAAACATTAGACCAGAGTTTCTCAACCTTTCTAATGCCGCGACCCCTTAATACAGTTCCTCATGTTGTGGTGACCCCCAACCATACAATTATTTTCGTGGCTACTTCATAACTGTAATTTTGCTACCGTTATCAATCGTAATGTAAATATCTGATATGCTGGATGCATTTTCATTCACTGGACCAAATTTGGCAAAAATACCCAATACGCCCGAATTTGAAGACCCATGGGGTTGGGGGGATTGATTTTGTCATTTGGGAGTTGTAGTTGCTGGGATGTATAGTTCACCTAGAATCAAAGAACTCCACCAACGATGGAATTGAACCAAACTTGGCACACAGAACTCCTATGACCAACAGAAAATACTGAAAGGGTTTGGTGGGCATTGACCTTGGGTTTTGGAGTTGTAGTTCACCTACATCCAGAGAGGACTGTGGACTTAAACAATGATGGCTCTGGACCAAACTTGGCAGGAATACTCAATATGCCCAAATGTGTACACTGGTGGAGTTTGGAGAAAACAGACCTTGACATTTGGGGTTTGTAATTGCTGAGATTTCTAATTCACCTACAATCAAAGAGCTTTCTGAACCCCACTTACAATAGAATTGGGGCAAACTTCCCTCACAGAACCCCCATGACCAACAGAAAATACTGTTTTTTGATGGTTTTTGGTGACCCCTCTGACACCCCCTTGCGACCCCTCCAGGGGTCCCGACCTCCAGGTTGAGAAACACTGCATTAGACAATAACACCACGACGCATTTAAAACTAAGGCCGGGTCAAATGTACTGATTAAAATTTTTAAAAATGCTGGGCATGGCAGGTGAAATGGATAGGTTTTTGGAGATAGGTGCGGTATGCAGACAATCTAAAATCTCTAGTAAAGTGCATTTGGGACATGATGCTAGGAGTTTTATCTATTATCCCCATAGAGGAGGTAAAGACACCACTCCCGCTCCACCCCTAGCATTCTTTGTAACACAAGGATTTATTATTATTATTAAAATAATAAATAATAATTATTAAAATAATAAATAATTATTATGTACATATATTATTGTCATTTAAATAAAAATGATTATTATATACATTTATTATTATTATTACTATTATTACTATTATTATTATTCCAAACACCACTCCCACTCAGCCCCTAGCATTCTCTGTAACACAAGACACAGAGTTTCTAATCCCACAGTGTTTTAAAAAAATATTATAGTCCTCATAGAGGAGGGAAGTTTATATTATTTTATATATTGCTTGAAAATGTTCCAAAAACCCCCACAAAACCAAAATTATTCTGCCATTGTGATATTGTTAAGATTATCCCATGGCAATATAATGGGGTTTGGGCATCTATGGTCCTGGAACCAAATGGGGCCCAGTGTACTTCCTATGAGGAGCGAGAGATTCCGCAATAGCAAAGCCCTTCAATGTGGAGGCTGTATCCTGTTCATCCCTTTTACCTTGTAGTAGTTGATAAGGTTGAGGTACTGAAGGGTGGAGATGACGTCCTCCTTCTTAATGCTTGTGATTTCGCTGATCTCGCTGGAAGAAAAGGACGGAGAGAGAAAAAAAAAGAAAGGAAAATCTTGAGCTGCATCTCTGCTGTGGGATGAATCCACTTTAATTGCCTTGGTTCAATGCTATGGCATCATGGAGGCTGTAGTTTTGCCTCCTCTCCACAAAAGTCAACATTGACACTGAAATACAACACCGCCTGAGCTCTGCGAGTGCAGCATTTTTCCGAATGAAGCAGAGAGTGTTTGGGGACCGGGACATCCATAGAGAGACAAAGAGGCTTGTTTATAAAGCATTTGTCCTCCCAAATCTCTTCTATGCCTGTGAAACGTGGACTGTCTGCAGATATCAACATTGACACTGAAATACAACACCGCCTGAGCTCTGCGAGTGCAGCATTCTTCCGCATGAAGCAGAGAGTGTTTGGGGACCGGGACATCCGTAGATACCAAGGTGCTTGTTTATAAAGCTATTGTCCTCCCAACCCTGTTCTACACCTGCAAAACGTGGACTGTCTACAGACATCGACACTGAAATACAACACTGCCTGAGGTCTGCGAGTGCAGCATTTTTCCGAATGAAGCAGAGAGTGTTTGGGGACCGGGACATCCGTAGATACCAAGGTGCTTGTTTATAAAGCTACTGTCCTCCCAACCCTGTTTTACGCCTGCAAAACGTGGACTGTCTACAGACATTAACATTGACACTGAAATACAACACTGCCTGAGCTCTGCGAGTGCATTTTTCCAAATGAAGCAGAGAGTGTTTGGGGACCGGGACATCCGTAGGGAGACCAAGGTGCTTGTTTATAAAGCTGTTGTCCTCCCAACCCTGTTCTACGCCTGCGAAACGTGGACTGTCTACAGACATCAACATTGACACTGAAATACAACACCACCTGAGCTCTGCGAGTGCAGCATCCATAGGGAGACCATCCCTAAGGAGACCAAGGTGCTTGTTTATAAAGATGATGATGATGATGATGATGATTATTATTATTATATACATGGCAAACATTCAATGCCATAGACACACAACATATATAGAGAGACACACAGAGGCTATTTAACATTCCAGCTTTTTCATGAGGGTATTCTGGCCGCCAGGGGAGCTGTTGCTTCACCTGTACATTTGTGACACTGATGAAGTACTTCCTCATTCTTTGCATGCTTGCTGGAGATTTTTATGGCCGTAAATTAGCCTCCCTGCATAAGTGGCACCTAAATTTCCTACTTGACAGATGCAACTGTCTTTTGGGCTGCAAAGGTCGACAGCAAGCTACACAAATTGGTTGGAAGCTCACTCCAACCCGGACTGGCTTCTAACTCATGACCTTTTGGTCAGTCATGATCTTAATGCAGCTGACTCCTAGCCAGCTGTGCCACAGTCCCGGTACTATAATATTATAATGTAATGCAATATAATAATACTACTAATAATGTATTATAATTATATATTTATATTATGTGTAATATTACTAATGATATTACAATATATTACAATATACATTACAATATAATGGTATAATACAATATATATATATTATATTACAATATAATGGTATAATACAATATATTACTAAAATCAGTGGGTTGTTGTAGGTTTTCCGGGCTATATGGCCATGTTCTAGAGGCATTTTCTCCTGACGTTTCGCCTGCATCTATGGCAAGCATCCTCAGAGGTAGTGAAGTCTGTTGGAAGTAGGAAAATGGGTTTATATATCTCGTATAATACAATTTATTATTGTTTAATAAAATTTTAATTATTACATTTGGCCCAGCCATAGGTTTTTAAACATGTTGTGTTACTGTTAATGTTTATTGCTTATTTTTGCGTATGAGTTTATTTATTGTCTTGTATTATTGTTGTTATTGATTATTGTTGTATTGTGCACTCGGCCTTATGTAAGCCGCACCGAGTCCCTTGAGGAGATGGTAGCGGGGTACAAATAAAGTTTTATTATTATTATTATTACTAATATTACAATATAATAGTATAATACTATGCTAATAATATAATATACTGTATGTATATATAACTTGTAAGCCACTCTGAGTCCCCTTTGGGGTGAGAAGGGTGGCATATAAATGTCGTAAATAAATAAATATAAAACCCCACTTTCCTAGTTTTCAACAGACCTCACAACCTCTGAGGATGCCTGCCACAGATGCAGGCGAAACGTCAGGAGAGAATGCTTCTGGAACATTGCCATACAGCCCGGAAAACAGACAACAACCCAAATAGGATGTTATTATTGTTATTGCTATTTATTATTATTATTATTATTATTATTATTATTATTATTATTTTCTCACTTGATCGTGATCTGTGGGCGCTCCCCGGTCTCCGACTTAAGGTTCATGAGGATCTCAAGGATGGTTTGGGACCAGTAGCTGCGGTAGGAGAGGAGCCCCAAATCCGAGAGGGGTTTCTCCGGCGTGCCCGTCTTCCCTTCCACCTTGGAAAGCTCATAACCTGGAGAGGAAAAAAGATGGCCACCAATAACACTATGTAAGAGTCACAACCCCAAGTCAGAGATCACAGTACAGGTAGTCCTCAAGTTCCAAATATCCGACTTACAAATGACTAATAGTTAAGAGTCAACCTTAAGAAACGGGACTACAAAGTGGTGTCCATGATATGCGAGTGTGGAGAAGAGCAAACCACAGACCACCTACAGCAATGCAACCTGAGCCCTGACACATGCACAAGGGAGGACCTTCTCACAGCGACACCAGAGGCACACCTGGAATATTGTGTCCTGTTCTGGGAACCACAATTGAAGAGAGATATTGACAAGCTGGAACGTGCCCAGAGGAGGGCGACTAAAATAATCAAGGGTCTGGAGAACAAGCCCTATGAGGAGCGGCTTAAGGAGCTGGGCATGTTTAGCCTGAAGAATAGAAGGCTGAGAGGAGACATGATAGCCATGTATAAATATTGTTGAAGGCTTTCATGGCCGGAATCACTGGGTTGTTGTAGTGGTCTCACTTCACTACCTCTGAGGATGCTTGCCATAGATGCAGGCGAAACATCAGGAGAGAATGCCTCTAGACCATGGCCATATAGCCCGAAAAAACCTACAACAACCTATGTATAAATATGTGAGAGGAAGTCATAGGCAGGAGGGAGCAAACTTGTTTTCTGCTGCCCTGGAGACTGGGACGCAAGGGAGCAATGGCTTCAAACTACTAGAAAGAAGAGCTGGGCATGTTGAGCCTGCAGAAGAGAAGGCTAACAGTGTAATTTAATGCTTTGAATTCTTCTTTGGTGATTTCTCCCTTTTTCCACTTCGTGTGCATGTCTCTTTGGAGTCTCAACCCAGTTAGAAGTTCTTTGGACATCCATTCTGGCTTCTGGCTACAAGAAAAGAGATTCCACCTGAACATGAGGAAGAACTTCCTGACTGTGAGAGCCGTTCAGCAGTGGAACTCTCTGCCCTGGAGTGTGGTAGAAGCTCCTTCTTTGGAAGCTTTTAAACAGAGGCTGGATAGCCATCTGTCAGGGATGCTTTGAATGCAATTTTCCTGCAGAAGGGTTGGACTGGATGGCCCACGAGATCTCTTCCAACTGTACGATTCTATGACTCCAAGTGGCCAGCTTCTGATCAAAGGAAATCTAGTATAATGCCAAGTTTTTAACTGTTTGTGTTTTTAAATACATTATAACTGTACCCTCAACTCACTTCAGACACAGTAAATAAAATAAATCTTAAATTGAATAATAATAATAATAATAATAATAACAACAACAACAATAACCTTTCACTGAGGCCTCTCTCACTGAGGCCTCTCACACTGAGACCTTCTCACACTGAGGGCTCTCTCAGGCTTCACACAATAATAATAATAACAACAACAACAATAACCTTTCTCTCACTGAGGCCTCTCACACTGAGACCTTTTCACACTGAGGGCTCTCTCAGGCTTCACACAATAATAATTATAATAATAGTAATAATAATAATAACAATAACCTTTCTCTCACTGAGGCCTCTCACACTGAGACCTTCTCACACTGAGGGCTCTCTCGGGCTTCACACAATAATAATAATAATAATAATAATAATAATAATAATAATAATACAAATGGGATGAGCATCTCACACTGAGGTCTCTCTCAGACTGAAGCTTTCTCACACAGAGAAAAATGTCACTTACTGAATTCTATCAGCAACTTTCCGTATCCCCGCCTCTGGTAAGGAGGCAAGGTCAGGATGCAGGCGACATTGTAGTCCTCCGTGGATTCCTTCTCCTACCAGGAGAGATCAAGCAAGAAGTAGGTGACGATCTCCTTACGCAACTCCCGAGCCTCTAACCGTATTTCTAATGACGTATTTCGTAGTCTCATCTCTCAGAGGCTCAAGACCCTTCAAAACCCCACCTTTGAGAAGTAGCCGACGATGTGGAAGCCTTTGCTGTCGTACTCGGTCATGACGTAGAAGAGGAACGGATCCGTGTCATAGTAGAGGGTCTTGTGGTCTAGGAAGCATTTGGCCAGGAGGCAGAGGTTCTGTGAGTAACTCTAGAAGGAGAGACAGAGAAAAAGAAAAACAACGAATTCAGGATCCTTCCCATTTTAAGGAGTTCTGAAGCAAGGCCCCAAAAGTGTGACCTTGTCCCATAAGGTGAGGCAATATTGTTGGGCAAGTGGGCTTATTAACAAAATACCTTCCCCATAAGGTTTCCATGACACAAAGTTCTTTACACTTCCTTCTTTGCTTCCACGCTGGACTTCTTTCTCATGCAGACGAACAGCTTCGCTCTCAGAGAGCCTCTTCTCACACCAAACTTACACAGGAGCTTTACACACAGCAGCTTTCACACTAAAGCTTCACACAAAATGGCCTTCAACCTGGGGCTTCTCTCACACTGAAGCTTCTCACACCAGGCCTTCCTCATACTGAGGCCTTTCTCTCACTGAGGCCTCTCACACGGAGACCTTCTCACACTGAGGGCTCTCTCAGGCTTCACACAGTAGTTTTACATACAGAAGCTTTCACACTGAAGCTTCACACACAATGGCCTTCAACTTAGAGCTTCTCTCACACTGTAGCTTCTCACACCAGGCCTTCCTGGTGAGGCCTTTCTCCCACTGAGGCCTCTTACACTGAGGGCTCTCTCAGACAGAGGCCTTTTCATACTGAGGCCTGCTAACACAGTGAGGCACCCCTCACACTGAGGCTTTTCTCTCACTGAGGGCTCTCTCAGACTGAGGCATTCCCATACTGAGGCCTACTAACACACTGAGACCTTCTCAAACTGAGGGTTCTCTCAGACTGAGGTTTTTTCATACGGAGGCCTTCTCATACAGAGGCCAAACACCGAGGTTTCCCTCACATTGAGGCCTTTCTCTCACTGAGGCCTCTTCCACCGAGGGCTCTCTCAGACTGAGGCCTACTAGAACGCAGCCTACCCACTGACGCTGAAGCCCCGGCCAGACACTAGCCATCACTAATATTTCCCCCAGATCCGTGCCCCGGTTGCCTTGAATCCCTGTTTTGTTCTTACTTTGTTCTTGCGCCCATCGATTTCAAAGAAAGAGATGGTCCCCTTGCGGTAGATTTCGTTCCCGGGCGGATGCCTCAAGTCGCACTTGGTCTGAGGACGAGAAAACAACACACTTCCAAGTCCTTCCCGCCCTTCAAAATACACGGAGATGGAGCGGGGTATAAATAAAGCATTATTATTATTATTATTATTATTATTATTATTATTTAGTTACGATTGCACTCACATTCAGATTTATTATTTATTTATTTCCAGTATTTATATTCCACCCTTCTCACCCCGCAGATTACAGTGTACACATACATGGCAAACATTCAATGCCATAGACACACAACACATACAGACAGACAGTTAGAGGCTATTTCACATTCCAGCTTTTTCATGAGGGTATTCTGGCCACCAGGGGAGCTGTCGCTTCACCGTCCATTTGTGGCACTGATGAAGTACTTCCTCATTCTTTGCATGCTTGCTGGAGATTTTTATGGCATCATAAATTAGCCTCCCCGCATGATGACACCATCAAAGCACATCATCATCATCATCATCACAATCACAGAATCATAGAGTCAGAAGAGACGTCATAGCCCATCCGGTCCAACCCCCTGCCAATAATAATAATAATAATAATAATAATAATAATAATAATAATTCCTCGCATGCTTTTGCAGGAGATTTTTTTATGGCCTCGTAAATTTGTTAAATTAGCCTCCCCACACATAGGTGGTACCTAAATTTCCTACTTGACAGATGCAACTGTCTTTCGGGTTGCAAAGGTCGACAACAAGCTACACAAATTGGCCAGAAGCTCACTCCGACCCGGGCTGGCTTCGAACTCCCAAGTTGCAGACCATCTCAAATAATGAGATGATCCTCTGAATATTATTAGTTATGATCATAATCACATTCAGATGAGATGGTCCTATTAATTACTCCACACATAGGCGGTACCTAAATTTCTTACTTGACAGATGCAACTGTCTTTCGGGTTGCAAAGGTCGACAACAAGCTACACAAATTGGCCAGAAGCTCACTCCGACCCGGGCTGGCTTCGAACTCCCAAGTTGCAGACCATCTCAAATAATGAGATGATCCTCTGAATATTATTAGTTATGATCATAATCACATTCAGATGAGATGGTCCTATTAATTACTCCACACATAGGCGGTACCTAAATTTCTTACTTGACAGATGCAACTGTCTTTCGGGTTGCAAAGGTCGACAACAAGCTACACAAATTGGCCAGAAGCTCACTCCGACCCGGGCTGGCTTCGAACTCCCAAGTTGCAGACCATCTCAGATAATGAGATGATCCTATGAATATTATTAGTTACTAGCTTTACCCGCCACGCGTTGCTGTGGCCAACCTTCTCTCCCTCTTTCTCTCCTTCTTTCAGTCCTTCCTTCATTTCCTTTTCTTCCTTCTCTACCTGTTTACTTCCTTCCTTAGCTTTTTGCTCCCCTCCTTCCTTCTCTTTATTTCTTTCCTTCCCTCCCTCTTTCTCTCCTTCTTTCTCTTCTTCCTTTCCTCCGTCTTTCCTCCCTTCCCTTTTTTCTTTCCTTCTCTCCTCCTTCCTTCTCTTCCTCTTTCCTTCCTCCTCCCTTTTTTTTTCCTTCCTCTTTCTCTCCTTTCTTCCTCTCTACTCTTTTCCTTCCTTCCTTCGCTTTGCTTCCCTTCCTTTTCTTTCTTTTCTTCCCTCCCTTTCTCTTCTTCCTTCACTTTTTTCCTCTCTTCCCCTTCCCAAATTCCCCTTCCTTTCTTCCTTCCTTCCTTCATTTTGACACCTTCCCTTCCCCTTCCCTTTCTTCTTTTTTTCCTCTTTCTTTCTTTCCTTCCTTCCTTTCTCCCTTCTTTCCCATCCTCCTTCTCTCTCTTTATTCTTTCTTTCCTACCTTTCTTCTTTCATATACCTTCTCAACTTCTCCTTCCTTCCTTCATACACCTTCCCTCCCTCCCTCTCCTTTCCTTCCTCCGTTCTTTCCCATCCTCCTTCTCTCCCTTTCTTCTTTCCTTCCTTTCTTCTTTCATATACCTTCTCAACTTCTCCTTCCTTACTTCCTTCATACACCTTCCCTTCCCTCCTTTCCTTCCTTCCTTCCTTCCTTCCTTCCTTCCTTCCTTCCTTCCTTCCTTCCTTCCTTCCTTTCTCCCTTCTTTCCCATCCTCCTTCTCTCCCTTTCTTCTTTCTTTTCTTCCTTTCTTGTTTCATATATCTTCTCAACTTCTTCCTTCCTTCCTACACCTTCCCTTCCCCTTCCCACTTTTCTTCTTTCTTTCCTCTTTCCTTCCTTCCTTCCTTCCTTCCTTCCTTCCTTCCTTCCTTCCTTCCTTCCTTCCTTCCTTCCTATTTACACCCCTTCCCCTCATTTCCGTCCTTCCTTCCCTCTCCCGCTTCCTTCCCTCCTTCCCCTTCCTCACCGATGGCGGAGCCAGACGGGGGTGTGCGGGGGTGGCCTGGGCCGGGCGTTGCTGTGGCCAATGGGTTGTCCTCGGCAGAGCCGGGCCGCGGCCTCTCCCGGCCGGGCCAGGAAGGCGCGCAGTGGGGGCCTCCCAAGCAGCCTCCACAGGTCGCGCAGCATCCTGGCCCCCAGCGAGCACAGCCGGCCGAGCTCCAATTCCCAGGCCGGGGCTTCAGCGTCAGTGGGTAGGCCGCGTTCTAGAACTACAGTTCCCAGAGTGCATTGCGTGTGTACTTCCTCCCCTGGGCACTGCGCATGCTCAGTTGGTTTTTGTAATTGTGAGTTTGTTGAAATGTTGTTTGGAATTTTGATGAGTGTTGTGCATACCTTGTGGGTTGAGGTATGTGCACGGCAAATTTGGTGAGTTTTCGTCGGGGGGTTTTTGCGTTTTGCTGTCCCTTTGAACGCCCTTTCCCTTTTAATATATATAGATGATGATCATAATCACATTCAGATGAGATGGTCCTATTAATTACTATCAATCACCTTCAGATGAGATGTTAGGAATGGTGGGAGTTGGTGAGAGTTAACACCTGATAAACCGAACGATGGGTTAGTGCAACCGAGAAGTGCTTACCAGGTGCCTCTGGAGACATTTGAGGCTCTTGACGTACTTAAGGCAAAACTCGCAGAGGTAGAGGATGGGGAGGGTGGTGAGCTCCTGCGGGTAGGGGGAGAAGTACCACGGCTTCAGGCGATGCCGCCCGAGCTCGATGCACTCGATGTTCTTCATGCGGGTGATGATGTCGTCGTGGCTGCGGTCTGAGACCAGGCTGCCGGTCATGCGGGGGGCCGAGGGGATGCCGTCCAAGCTGTCCTGGGAGTCCTGCTCGCAAGAACCAGGAGGGATATTCTGGATGAACGGGGAGAAAGCCGTAGATTCTGTCTCGCATGCTGGTGTCTCAAAGCGATGCCAGCCCAACACCACCACCACCACCACCACCACCACCTCCGCAGGCCCAAGCCCGGCTTGCTTACCTCGTCGGTGCCCAAGCAGTTGGACTTGCGCTTCCGGCCCGGCTGGGTGGCCACCGCACGCCGCGCAGAGCCATTCTGGAGAAAGGGACAACAAGGTTGGAAGGCGGCACTGGTCCCCTTCCCCATCCGGCCACTCAATAAACAAAGAGGACCCCAAGAAGAAGGTTAGGACAGGGTCAACCAAGGCAGTCGAGGAGTCATAGAAAGGCATAGAGGAGGTGCAGGAACACAACGGATTAATAATAATAATAATAATAATAATAATAATAATAATTATATATTTATCATGTCATCCTCAACCAGAACATTGTATTACATTTCTAACAGAACAAAACAAACAAACAGATAAAAAAACAACACAAATTTTGCAAACTTGGTAGCTGATTAAATGTCCTTTGACCAGTATCTGGCCACTTGGAGTGCCTCTGGTGTTGCTGCAAGACAGTCCTCCATCGTGCTTGTGGCAGGGCTCAGGTTGCATTGCAGCAGGTGGTCAGTGGTTTGCTCTTCTCCACTTTGTAGCCCCATTTCTGAAGGTTGGCTCTGCATCTCGTGGTGCCAGAGCGCAGTCTGTTCAGCGCCTTCCAAGTCGCCCAGTCCTCTGTGTGCCCAGGGGGGAGTCTCTCATTTGGTATCAGCCATTGGTTGAGGTTCTGGGTTTGAGCCTGCCACTTTTGTACTCTCGCTTGCTGAGGTGTTCCAGCGAGTGTCTCTGTAGATCTTAGAAAACTATTTCTAGATTTAAGTCGTTGACGTGCTGGCTGATACCCAAACAGGGGATGAGCTGGAGATGTCTCTGCCTTGGTCCTTTCACTATTGGCTGCTACTTCCCGGCGGATGTCAGGTGGTGCAATACCGACTAAGCAGTGTCATTTCTCCAGTGGTGTAGGGCGCAGACACCCCGTGATAATGCGGCATGTCTCATTAAGAGCCACATCCACTGTTTTAGTGTGGTGAGATGTGTTCCACACTGGGCATGCGTACTCAGCAGCAGAGTAGCATAGCGCAAGGGCAGATGTCTTCACTGTGTCTGGTTGTGATCCCCAGGTTGTGCCAGTCAGCTTTCGTATGATCTTGTTTCTAGCGCCCACTTTTTGCTTGATATTCAGGCAGTGCTTCTTGTAGGTCAGAGCACGGTCCAGAGTGACTCCCAGGTATTTGGGTGCGCTGCAATGCTCCAGTGGGATTCCTTCCCAGGTAATCCTCAGAGCTCGGGATGCTTGTCTGTTCTTGAGATGAAAGGCACATGTCTGTGTTTTAGATGGATTAGGGATCAGCTGGTTTTCCCTGTAATAGGCAGTAAGAGCACCTAGAGCTTCGGAGAGCTTCTGTTCAACCATCTCAAAGCTCCCTGCTTGAGCGGTAATGGCACGATCATCATCATCATCAGGGGACATGAGAGAAGCCTCCTCACAGGATTGCAAGACATCCGGGCGTCCCCTGGGCAACGTCTTCGTAGACGGCTGATTCTCTCGATCCAGAAGCAACCAGAGACGACTTGCAACATGCAAACAAGCAAGCAAAACAACCAACTGACCTTTTCAGAACCAACCATGACAATAATAATAATAATCTATATAAATAAAAATGTAATGTTCGTTTGTGCTATTCACAGAACTCAAAAACCACTGGACGAATTGACACCAAATTTGGACATAAGACACCTAACAACCCAATGTATGTCCTTCACTCAAAAAATTGATTTTGTCATTTGGGAGTTGTAGTTGCTGGGATTCATAGTTCACCTATCCAAAGAGAATTCTGAACTCCATCAACAATGGAATTGAACCAAACTTGGCAAACAGAACTCCCATGACCAACAGAAAATACTGGAAGGGTTTGGTGGGCATTGACCTTGAGTTTCGGAGTTGTAGTTCACCTACATCCAGAGAGCACTGTGGACTCAAACAATGATGAATCTGGACCAAATTTGGCACAAGCACTCAATACGCCCAAATATGAACACAGATGGAATTTGGGGGAAATTGACCTTGACATTTGGGAGTTGTAGTCACTGGGATTCACAGTTCACCTACAATCAAAGAGCATTCTGAATCTCACCAACGATAGAATTGGGGCAAAAAAACACTGAAAAACACAGCAGAAGGGACTTAAAAAGCCCCAAAAAGCTAAATGGCGAAAAGCTAAATGACAATACAGGAAAAAAAAGGGAAGAAAGAGGGAGGGAAGGGGAGAAACAAACAAAGGGAGGGAGGGAAAGAAAGAAGGAAAGGGATAAGGAAGCATGGAAGCAAAGAGAGAAGGAAGGAAGGAAGGAAGGAAGGAAGGAAGGAAGGAAGGAGGTAGAGAAGGAAGAAAGGAGAGAAAGAGGGAGGTAAAGAAAAAGGGGGAAGGAAGGAAACTTAGAAAAGGAAGGAAGGAGAAAGAAAGAAAAAACGGAAAGAAGGAAGGAAAGAGGGAGCAAAGGAAGGGGGGGGAGATTTATTATATTTATTATTTATTTGCTTTATTTCTATACCACATTTTTCAGCCTAATTAGGCGACTCAATGTGGTTGAGATGTAGAGAAAGAGGGAGAGAAGGAAAGAAGGAAAGAGAGAAGGAAGAAAAGAAAAGGGCTGACAGTGTGAGCTCACTCCACTCCCCGCATTCGAACTTCCAACCTTTCGGTCAGCAATTCAGCAGCTCAGTGGCTTAACCCGCTGCGCCAGCAGTAAGCCTTAAACAATTATTAGCACTTCTCTTCCCCTGTTCCAAATAGTATATGAGGGTTGAAAGAAAAGTAATGCCTTCACCTTCGTTACTTGGGTTTGGATGGGAATTTTTAAATAAATCGAACGCAGAAATAAACCTTAGAATGTGTTCTTTAACACTATCCACATAATCACCAGACAATTGGATACAACAACGAACAAGTTTTGTGAAGCCGTCATGGACTGTGGCGCAGCTGTCTGAGTGTCAGCTGCATTAAGACCACTACTGATCGAAAGGTCATGAGTTCGAAGCCAACCTGGGTTGGAGTGAGCTTCCGGCCAATGTCTCACAGTTTTCTCAACATCTTCATCAGAAGCATAATGATGTCCCCGCAGATCTTCTTTCATTACTGGGAACAAATGGAAGTCAAATGGTGCTAAATCTGGACTGAATGGAGGATGCCGTATGGTGGTGAGATCCAGTCTATGAAGTTTCAAGTCTGTGCGCTTTCATTTCAGGCATCAGCATCCTGGGTACCCATCATGCACAGATCTTCAGATAGCCAAGCAAAGCAATAATGTGACCCACACGTTCTTGTAAAATGTCGATTACGCTTGAAATTTCTTTTTGAGTGATACGACGATTCCCCTGAATCAATCTGTCAACCTTTTGTTTGTGAAACTCGGTGGTTGCTGTCACAGGACGTCCAACTCTTTGTTTGTCATGCAAGTCAGATGTTCCCACCTCAACATCTTTAAACGTACTCGCCCAACGATGCACAGTACTCACATCAACACAATCACCATAAACAGCTTGTATTCTGTGATGAATCTCCTTTGGGGTGACACCTTCTGCTGTCAAGAATTCAATGACTGCATTGCTTAAGTCGCATTGACCAACCGTCTGCGCAGGGTTCCATATTTTGCACTTTAACAACACAACCGTTCAATGCTAAGGCTTCCTGCCAAAATGGAACTGTAGAGGAGAGTCTACTGAACAAGCTAGTACCTGCCGCATACCAGTACTGCCATCTGTTGATGAGTTACGAAGGTGGAGGCATTATTCTTCATTCAACCCTTGTGTGTGTGTGTGTACACACACACACACATGCACTTTAATCAGTAGCTGCCCATTTGACAAACCAGAGTTCCTAGTTTCTGTCAATGTTGAGAGTATGTAGTCCACCTTTCCCCGCCTGAAACTGACCAACTGTCCGCAGGGTTCCATTCTTCGCACTTTAACAACACAACTATTCAATGCTAAGACTTCCCACTAAAATGGAACTGTAGAGGAGAGTCTACTGAACAAGCCAGTACCTGCCGCATACCAGTACTGCCATCTGTTGTTGAGTTACGAAGGTGGAGGCATTACTTTTCACTTTAACAACACAACCGTTCAATGCTAAGTCTTCCCGCCAAAATGGAACTGTAGAGGAGAGTCTACTGAACAAGCCAGTACCTGCCGCATACCAGTACTGCCATCTGTTGAGGAGTTACGAAGGTGGAGGCATTACTTTTCACTTTAACAACACAACCGTTCAATGCTAAGGCTTCCCGCCAAAATGGAACTGTAGAGGAGAGTCTACTGAACAAGCCAGTACCTGCAGCATACCAGTACTGCCATCTGTTGAGGAGTTACGAAGGTGGAGGCATTACTTTTCACTTTAACAACACAACCGTTCAATGCTAAGGCTTCCGCCAAAATGGAACTGTAGAGGAGAGTCTACTGAACAAGCCAGTACCTGCGCATACCAGTACTGCCATCTGTTGAGGAGTTACGAAGGTGGAGGCATTACTTTTCACTTTAACAACACAACCGTTCAATGCTAAAGCTTCCTGCCAAAATGGAACTGTAGAGGAGAGTCTGCTGAACAAGCCAGTACCTGGAGCATGTGCTGCGGCTTACCTGGGGGAACACAGATGCCTGGGTCGTCTCTGTTGGTGCAGGGATGGGGGTCGCAGGAGACACTACCTCCACCTTCCGCTTCTGGAAGATACCAACACAAGCAGGTTCTTTCAGGCTGCCTGGCATCATCTTTGGCGGCCATCTATGCCCACCCACCCCCTCTTAACACTCCCCACAACAGCCCCATAGCAAAGAACAGGCAACTCTGACCCACAGTCAAGGGTGGGAGTAGTAGCCATGCAAGTAGTAGACTCAACCTCAACTACCATTGAAATGAATTGGGAGATCAAAGAGTATAATATTACTATATTGTATTATACCATTACTAGTAATATTACATGTAATATAAAATATATAATTACACTATAATAATATAATTTTCAACCAGAGAAGATTGGATTTCTCAAGAAGCCTCTGAGGAAACATTGTTTAGGTGGGTTGATGTTAGTTTCCTGGGCTGTCTGGCAGTGTTCCAGAAGCATTCTCTCCTGACATTTCGCCCACATCTATGGCAAGCATCCTCAGAGGTTGTGAGGTCTGTTGGAAACTAGGCAAGTGGGGTTTATATATCTGTGGAATAATGTCCAAGGTGGGAGAAAGAACTTTTGTCTGCTTGGGGCAAGTGTGAATGTTTGTTTATTTATTTATTTACGACATTTCTATGCTGCCCTTCTCACCCCGAAGGGGACTCAGAGCGGCTTACAAGATATATAGACACACAATATATTATACTATTAGCCTAGTACAATATCAGTATTAAATATTAAGCTTTAAAAACGACAACACTTATTATTATTATTTACAATATTTATATGCCTCCCTTCTCACTCCAAAGGGGACTCAGAACGGCTTACAATATACATACAATATATTATATTATTAGTGTAGAACAATATCAGTATTAAATATTAAGTTATAACAACTACAACAACACATTATTATTATTATTATTATTATTATTATTATTATTATTATTATTATTATTATTATTTACAATATTTATATGCCTCTCTTCTCACCCCAAAGGGGACTCAGAGCAGCTTACAAGATATATACACACACTATATATTGTATTATTAGTGTAGTACAATATCAGTATTAAATATTAAGGTATAAAATCTACAACAACACTTATTATTATTATTATTATTATTATTATTATTTACAATATTTATATGCCTCCCTTCTCACCCCGAAGGGGACTCAGGGCGGCTTACAAGATATATATACACACAATATATTATATTATTAGGGTAGTGCAATATCAGTATTAAATATTAAGGTATAAAAACTACAACAATACTAATTATTATTATTATTTACAATATTTATATGCCTCCCGTCTCAACCACAATCGTAATGTTGCCCAAGCCATTAGTTTGGAGGCTAACTGCTTTCCAATGACAGGTTTTGGAATCATCGCATTCCAAGAGACGCACAAGTGCCTTCCAATCCCCTGCTAGGCAGGAACACACAATCAAAGCCCCCTCGACAGATGGGCATCGGGGCGTTGCTGGCTCTTTCCCTCCTTTTCCTACAACCTCCCTGTCCCAGTGTGATTCAGGAGGGAGGTGCCCTCGAGGCCGTTCAGCAGTGGAACTCTCTGCCCCGGAGTGTGGTGGGGGCTCCTTCTTTGGAAGCTTTTAAGCAGAGGCTGGATGGCCATCTGTCAGGCGTGATTTGAATGCAATATTCCTGCTTCTTGGCAGGGGGTTGGACTGGATGGCCCATGAGGTCTCTTCCAACTCTTTGATTCTATGATTCTATGATTCTATGAGGCGAAGGCTCTTCCTTTGGAGGCCTCCCTTGCCGGCCCAGACCTAGCCCAACCCCGCCCAGCTGGTGCGGCCTCTTGCGAGCGTGCCAGGTCGACAGGACAACTACAAATAAAGGATTCGAGTCAGGGCGGCCGGGCGCCAGTTCGTACCGTGGAGCGATGGTTTGGCTGGACGCAGGAGCTGGAGGAGAGGGGTTGGTCGGGCGAGCCGGGGATGGCCTCTCTCTCTTTAGGCAGGTTAAAGCGGAGGGTTATCTGCACCGGGATGGGCAGGGTTTTACCACTGGATGGAGCTGCGGCGGGCTGCAGAGACAGATCCAAGGTCTTCCTCTGAGTGGGGAGGAAGACGGGCGTTACCAACACACGGGAGAGGGGCGGCACGGCCCCTCAGGGGATCGGGACTGGCACCACCCGCCACCGGGCAACGGAGATCCTTCCTCAGACATCCCTCCCCTCGTCCTGCGCCCCCTCTTACCACGTCCCGTTCCGGAGAGCTGGGCCGCGAGCCGGGCAACCCGTTCTTGGTGGGTGTCTTGGCCTCCTTCTTGGGGAACTGGATCTTCTTCAGGTCCAGCCGGTCGTGGGTCACCCATTCGTCCAGGCGCTTGTTAACTGTGTGAGCAAAGCGAGGTTTGTTTTTCTTCCTCCATATTTACATTATTCATGTACAGTCAGTCCCCAAGTTTCAAACAAGACAGGTTCTGTAGGTTTGTCCTTAAGTTGAATCTGTATGTAACTCAGAACAGGTACATTTTTAAAATCTAATGCTGGCCATCTATATAAATAAAAATGCAGTGTTTTGTGGGATTACCATGGGTGAATAACTCGGGACTATGTCTGTTCTTGTTTTTATTGTATTTTAAAATTAATTGTATTGTTTTAATCTACTGCTGTAAACCGCTCCGAGCCAAATTAGGAGTAGTGGTATACAAGTCAAAGAAACAAACAAACAAACAACTCAAAAACCATTGGAAGAATTGACACGAAATTTGGACACTATACCCCTAACAGATCAACAAGTGACCATCACTCATAAAATCCCCCCCAAAAAACAGCAGAAAGGACTTAAAAACCCCATAAAGCGAATTGACACCAAATATGGACACAATACACTTAATAGTCCTAGTGTCCATCACTCATACAAACACTGAAAAACCCAATGGAAGATGTTAATCCCACAAACAAACATTACATTTTTATTTATATAGATACTAGCCGTCCCCTGCCACACGTTGCTGTAGCCCAGTCTGTGTATATGTGTTTTGTGAGTGTATAGGTATGTGTATATATTTTTGTATATATGTGTATTTGCATTTATATATGTGGGTTTGCACATGTCTTGTAATATATTTTTTTGGCTTTTTAAGTCCCTTCTGCTGTTTTTCTGTGTTTTTCTGAGTGATGGTGACTCGTTGGCCTGATAAGGTGTCTTGTGTCCAAATTTAGTGTCAATCTGTCCAGTGGTTTATGAGTTATGTTAATCCCACAAACGAACATAACATTTTTAATTATGGGTTGTTGTTGGGTTTTTTTCAGGCTATATAGCCATGTTCTAGAGGCATTCTCTCCTGATGTTTCGCCTGCATCTATGGCAAGCATCCTCAGAGGTAGTGAGATTTGGTGGAACTAGGAAAATGGGTTTATATTTATTTATTTACGACATTAATATATGCCACCCTTTTCTCCCCAAAGGGGATTCAGAGTTCCTTACAAGATATATATACATAAAATTATATTATTAGCAAACTATTATACCAATGTATAAACATTACCCTGGTCATTCCACAGATATATAAACCCATTTTTCCTACTTCCAACAGACCTCACTACCTCTGAGGATGCTTGCCATAGATGCAGGCGAAACGTCAGGAGAAAAATTGCCTCCAGAACATGGCCATATAGCCCGGAAAAACCTACAACAACCCACCTATTATACCACTATATTTTAATATCATCTGTGGAATGACCAGGGTGGGACAAAGGACTTTTGTCTGCTGGAGCTAAGTGTGAATGTTTCAACTGACCACCTTGATTAGCATTTGATGGCCAGGCAGTGCCTGGGGCAATCCTTTGTTGAGAGGTGATTAGATCATCCTCGTCTCATCCTCGTTCTTAACTAGGAGTCCTTTGTAAGACTGATGCTTGTAACTCAGGGACTGCCCGTATTTTTGTTAGATCTGCTTAAAGTTATTGCAAGCCACATTTGAAATATAAAGATATTCTCATTCATGTTGACATTTGAGTACGCATTTCCCCAGAATTAAATGGCTGCCAAGGTCTCATTGGTACAGCCATGCACGTTCATCTTTATTTATTTTATTTATTTACGGCATTTCTATACAGCCCTTCTCACCCCGAAGAGGACTCAGAGCAGCTTACAAGATATACATACATACACTCTATTATAATATTAGCATGGCACAATATCAGTATTTATTTATTTATTTATTTACTGCGCTTATATACCGCAATTCTCAGCCCAGGGGCGACTCATTGCGGTGTACAACATAGAAAAACAGGTGCAAAATACAAGACATAGTGTAAAAATAATCCACAATTCATCATTATCAAAAACATCCTAATCAAAACATCAACACTACAAAAGCCATTCCATGTCGTCTCATCGTCAAACCCACAATCCGATATCACTTCCGTTGTTCCATTCCTATGGTCAAATTATCAATCATTGCACTTCTTGTTCAAATGCCTTCTTAAACAGCCAGGTCTTTAATTTCCTGCGGAATATCAACAGGGAGGGAGCTAGCCTGATGTCCACAGGAAGGGTGTTCCACAGCCGAGGCGCCACCACCGAGAAGGCCCTATCTCTCGTCCCCGCCAGCCGTGCCTGTGACGCAGGCGGAATCGAGAGCAGGGCCTCCCCGGAAGATCTCAAAGTCCTCGTGGGCTCATAGGCCGAGAGGCGGTCAGAAAGGTATCTTGGGCCGGAACCGTTTAGGGCTTTATAGGCCAATGCCAGCACCTTGAATTGAGCCCGGTAGCAGATCGGCAGCCAGTGGAGCTGGTACAGCAGGGGGTGTATGCTCCCTGCGTCCCGCTCCTGTTAGTATCATGGCTGCCGCACGTTGGACCAGTTGAGCTTCCGGGCCGTCTTCAAAGGCAACCCCACGTAGAGAGCGTTGCAGTAGTCTAAACGGGATGTAACCAGAGCGTGGACTACCGTGGCCAAGTCAGACTTCCCAAGGTACGGGCGCAGCTGGCGCACGAGCCTAAGCTGTGCAAATGCTCCCCTGGTCACCGCCGAGACCTGGGGCTCCAGGCTCAGCGATGAATCCAGGATCACACCCAAGCTGCGAACCTGTGCCTTCAAGGGGAGTGCGACCCCATCCAGCACAGGCTGTAACCCTATACCCTGTTCGGCCTTGCGACTGACCAGGAGTACCTCTGTCTTGTCTGGATTCAATTTCATTTGTTCGCCCTCATCCAGGCCATTACTTCTTATTATTAAGGTAAAGGTAGAGGTAGTCCCCTGACATTAATCCAGTCATGTCTGACTCTGGGGTGTGGTGCTCATCTCCATTTCTAAGCCGAAGAGCCAGCGTTGTCCGTAGACACCTCCAAGGTCATGTGGCCGGCATGACTGCATGGAGCGCCGTTACCTTCCCGCCGGAGCGGTACCTATTGATCTACTCACATTTGCATGTTTTCGAACTGCTAGGTTGGCAGAAGCTAGGGCTGACAGCGGAAGCTCACGCCGCTCCCCGGAATCGAACTTGCGACCTTTCGATCAACAAGCTCAGCAGCTCAGTGCTTTAACCCACTACGCCACCGGGGGCCCATACTATACCTTTATATTGCAATATTATTAGTAATATTACATGTAATATAAATATATAATTACAATATCATAAAATAAAGGTAAAGGTTTACTGTGGTGCTCCATATATTGCTGGACTGCACTATTATCTTTCACCTTTAACTGTATGAATATTATATAGGCCAAAATCTGAAGGAGAGTCGTTGTCTACCTTGATTTAACACAGTAAACAAGCTTGATAAATTATTTCAGTTTCTAAATACTATGAGCCTGGTCTTCATAAACTTCCTTCCCATTAGAAAACCCTATTTCAGCATATTCCTTGTAGGCTTCTCCCCACTCTATAGATTCATCGGCACCGTATCTACTCACAGTCAATATAGTGAACGTAGAAAAGCTTCCGGCCACTGATGTCCTTGACGCTGAGGATTTCGGCCAGCGCTGTTGATAGAAGAGAAAACACATTCTGTTAAGGGAAGCGAAAGTCAAAAATCTATGAACATAAAATACATTTTTTTTTTCGTGCCAGGAGCGACTTGAGAGACTGCAAGTTGCTTCTGTGTGAGTGAATTGGCCGTCTGCAAGGATGTTGCCCAGGGGATGCGAGGATGTTTTTGATGTTTTACCATCCTTGTGGGAGGCTTTTCGCATGTCCCCGCATGGGGAGCTGGAGCTGACAGAGGGAGCTCATCCGCACTCTCCCCAGTTATATTATACATTATTTACTATTATTTTATTTTTTATTATTGTATTCTATTATAATTTTATTTATTATATTATATAATTATTTTAATTAATATTTTATTGTATTGTCAAAGGCTTTCATGGCCGGAATCACTGCGTTGTTGTAGGTTTTTTCGGGCTATATGCCCTTTCTCTCCTGATGTTTCGCCTGCAAAACCTCTGAGGATGCTTGCCATACATGCAGGCAAGACGTGAGGTCACAACCTCTGAGGATGCTTGCTTGCCATACATGCAGGTGAAACGTCAGGAGAAAATGCCTCTAGATCCTGGCCATAAAGCCCGAAAAAACCTACAACAACCCAATATTTTATTACTTTATTTATCATATATTACATTTTATTTTATTATTTTATTTTATATTTTATTTATGACTACTGTATATTTATTAAAATACATAATTATTTTAAAATTTTATTTATTTATTTACTTATTTACTTTGCTTGTATACCGCAGTTTCTCAGCCCGTAGGCGACTCAACGCGGTTCACAACAAGAGCAAAAAGTCAATCGTACAACATACAATCTTTAAAACCATTAACAGCATAATATACAAAATAATGACACATCAATAACAACACATTAACGTCTCATAACTAGAATAGTGATCCAATTCATCATCCATAATTCCATTTCCTATATTCATCGTTCAATTGCACTATTTATCTGAATGCCTGTTCAAACAGCCAGGTTTTTAGTTTTCTTCGAAACACCATTAACGAATTTATGATTATTATATTTATTATTGTCTTCTATTATAAATGTACTTATTTTATTCTATTATAATTTTACTTATTATGTTATAGAATTATTTTATTTACTATTGTATTTTATTGTTATATATTATATTATATTATTGTTTTATTTACTATTATAATTCTATTTATTACATTATAGCATTATTTTAATTAGTATTTTATTACTTTATTTATCATATATTACATTATAAAATAATTATTTTATTTATTATTTTATTTTATATTTTATTTATTTTATATTTTATATTTATTAAAATACATAATTAAATTAATATTTTATTTATTATTGTACTCTATTATAAATTTATTTATTTTATTCTATTACAATTTTATTTATTATAGAATTATTTTACTATTGTATTTTATTGTTTTAGATATTATTGTTTTACTATTATTTTATTTATTATATATTATACTATTGTGTTATTTACTATTATTTTATTTATTTATTTATTATATTATAGATTTATTTTATTTACTATTGTATTTTATTGTTTTATATATTATATTATACTATTGCATTATTTACTATTATTTTATTTATTTATTATATTATAGAATTATTTTATTTACTATCGTCTTTTACTGTTTTATATATTATATTATACTATTACTATTATTTTTTATATATTTTATTATAGAATCATTTTATTTACTATTGTATTTTATTGTTTTATATATCATATTATACTATTGTTTTATTTTCTATCATTTTATTGATTATATTATACACTTATTTTACTATTGTATTTTATTGTTTTATATATTATAGTTTTATTTCCTATTATTTTATTTATTATATTATAGAATCATTTTATTTACTACTGTATTTTATTGTTTTACATATTATATTATGTTTTTTACTATTATTATATTATATTATAGAATCATTTAATTTACTATTGTATTTTATTGTTCTATATATTTTATACTACTGTTTTATTTACTATCATTTTATTTATTATATTGTAGAATTATTTTATTTACTATTGTATTTTATTGTTTTATATATCATATTATACTATTGTTTTATTTCCTATCATTTTATTGATTATATTATACAATTATTTTACTACTGTATTTTGTTGTTTTATATATTATATTATAGTTTTATTTCCTATTATTTATTTATTATATTATAGAATTATTTTTGACCATTAATTATTTTATTAAATCATAGAATTATTTTATTTAGTATTATATTTTATTGTTTTATTCATTACATTATATTATTTTTAAATTTAATATTATTTGATTTATTATATTACAGAATTATTTTAAGTAATATTTTATTTTATTACATTATCATATATTATATTATTATATTCTATTATAATTTTTTCTATTATTTTTAAATTTAATATTACTTGATTTATTGTATTATATTACACAATTATTTTTAATAATATTTTCTTTTATTACTTTTATCATATATTATATTATTATATTTTATTATTATTTTTTCTATTATTTTTAAATTTAAAATTACTTGATTTATTATATTATACAATTATTTTAAGTAATATTTTATTTTATTACTTTTGTCATATATTATATTATTATATTTTATATTTTATTATATATTTTTCTATTATTTTTTCTATTGTTTTTAAATTTAATATTACTTGATTTATTACATTATATTACACAATTATTTTAAGTAATATTATATTTTATTACTTTATCATATAGTATGATATTATTATTTTATTTATTATTATTTATTTTTTTCTATTGTTGTGATGGACTGGGTGTATATCCTTAGACCATACTTACTCTCAGGGATACAATAGCCGTCCGCCTGGGAGGGATTCAGATCCCAGCGCCAGGACTCCCTCCTGACAGACCATCCTGGATGCCAATGGGATTGGCCAGCTCAAGGGATGGGCGCCGCTGCTCACCTCTGGAGCCAACCCGTCAATCACACCCCATTGGCCCCGCCCACCGCCTTGTAGCCCCGCCCACGAGATGAGCGCGGCTGTTCACCTCTGGAGCCAGCCCGTCAATCACAACGCTTGGCCCCGCCCACCGCCTTGTAGCCCCGCCCACGGGATGGGCGCCGCTATTCACCTCTGGAGCCAACCCGTCAATCACACCCTTTGGCCCCGCCCACGAGATGGGCACTGCTATTCACCTCAGGAACCAACCCGTCAATCACAAACCCTTGGCCCCGCCCACCGCCTTGTAGCCCCGCCCACGAGATGAGCGCGGCTGTTCACCTCTGGAGCCAGCCCGTCAATCACAACGCTTGGCCCCGCCCACCGCCTTGTAGCCCCGCCCACGGGATGGGCGCCGCTATTCACCTCTGGAGCCAACCCGTCAATCACACCCTTTGGCCCCGCCCACGAGATGGGCACTGCTATTCACCTCAGGAACCAACCCGTCAATCACAAACCCTTGGCCCCGCCCACCGCCTTGTAGCCCCGCCCACGAGATGAGCGCGGCTGTTCACCTCTGGAGCCAGCCCGTCAATCACAACGCTTGGCCCCCGCCCACCGCCTTGTAGCCCCGCCCACGGGATGGGCGCCGCTGCTCACCTCAGGAACCAACCCGTCAATCACACCCCATTGGCCCCGCCCACCGCCTTGTAGCCCCGCCCACGGAATGGGAGCCGCTGCTCACCTCAGGAACCAACCCGTCAATCACACCCCATTGGCCCCGCCCACCGCCTTGTAGCCCCGCCCACGGGATGGGCGCCGCTATTCACTTCAGGAATCAACCCGTCAATCACACCCGATTGGCCCCGCCCACCGCCCTGTAGCCCCGCCCCCGGGCGTCTTTAGTCCCTGCCCCTCACTCACGCCACTCGTCCTCGTTGTCCACCTCTGGAACCAACCCGTCAATCACACCCCATTGCCCCCCCCCGCCTTATAGCCCCGCCCCCGGGCTCCCTTAGGCCCCGCCCCTCACTCCCGCCTCTCGTCCTCGTTGTCCACTTCAGGAACCAACCCGTCAATCACACCCCATTGGCCACGCCCAACGCCTTGTAGCCCCGCCCACGGGATGGGCGCCGCTATCCCGCCTCTCGTCCTCGTTGTCCACCTCTGGAACTAAGCCGTCAATCACACCCATTGGCCCCCGCCCCCCGCCTTATAGCCCCGCCCCGGGCTCCCTTAGGCCCCGCCCCTCACTCCCGCCTCTCGTCCTCGTTGTCCACTTCAGGAACCAACCCGTCAATCACACCCCATTGGCCCCGCCCACCGCCTTGTAGCCCCGCCCACGGGATGGGCGCCGCTATTCACCTCAGGAACCAACCCGTCAATCACACCCCATTGGCCCCGCCCACCGCCTTGTCCCGCCCCCGGGCTCCCTGAGGCCCCGCCCCTCACTCACGCCACTCGTCCTCGTTGTCCTGGTTCCGGCGCAGCACGGGCAGGCGGCAGCCCTCAGTGACTTCCTCCTGCAACGGAGACCCATGAGGAGCCGGCAGCGTTCCCCACCGCGTTCCCCTTCCCCTTCCCTTTCCAAAAAATCCCTTCTGGTTTCCTCACTTACCACCTCCGCCATCTTGGACCCTCGCCGTTCGTCAGGGCCTTCTTTTCCGGCATCGACGGGAACTACTTCCGGGAGGAGAGAATCCACTTCCGCCAGGCGCCATTTTCTTTGTTGTTGTTCTTCTAGGTTCCTACTTCTCCCTCGCGCCCTTTCCGGGTTTGCATAAGCCCCGCCCATTTTTGGTTCCAGATTTGCATAAAGGGGGCGGGGCGAGAGAGAGCCCCAAAGGCGGCGGCGACAGGGGGAAGTGGGCGGGGCCTTCCCAGCAGCACTTCGGACGGAGCCATTCCGCCCCGCGACGCCTCCCTCAGGCTTCCGGCTCCCGGCGGGCAGGCAGGCAGGCGAGCCCCAGGCTTCGGCTAGGCCCAGGCCCCGACCCGGAAGAGCTCTGCGGCCCCGCGGGAGGGAGGGTGGGCTGACTTCTCCGCCGCTCGGGAAGGCCTTCAGGCCCGCCTTCGCTCCTCGGGCCTCCTCCCCCGGGCCATGGGGGACCCCCTCGCCCAGATGCAGGGCGGGTTCAGCAGCACAACCATGGACGGTGAGTAGGGGGCTCCTCTCCTTCTCTAGGCTCAGGGGACGGGTCTCCAAAGGCTCCCTTCTGACATAAAGGCACCACCAAAGCCCTCCCGACAGATGGCCGTCCAGCCTCTGTTTTAAAAAACCTCAGGAGCGTCCTTCTGCCATAAAGACACAATCGAAGCTCTCCCAGCAGATGGCCGTCCAGTCTCTGTTTCAAAAAACCTCAGGAGAAGGAGACTCCATCAGTTTCTGGCCTCCTTCTGCCATAAAGACGCAATTAAAGCCCTCCCGACAGATGGCCATCCAGCCTCTGCTTTGAAAAACCTTCCTTAGAAGGGGACCATCAAGTCCAACCCCTTTCTGCCAAGACACCATCAAAGCCCTCCCGACAGATGGCCGTCCAGACTCTTTCTTAAAAATCTCAGTCTCTAGCCTCTTTTTCCCATAAAGACACCATGAAAGCCCTCCCGACAGATGGACGGCCAGCCTCTTTCTTAAAAATCTCAGTCTCTAGCCTCCTTCTGCCATAAAGACACCATCAAAGCCTTCCCGACAGATGGCCATACAGTCTCTGCTTTGAAAAACCTTCCAGAGAAGAGGACCATCAAGTCCAACCCCTTTCTGCCAAGACACCATCAAAGCCCTCCCGACAGATGGCCGTCCAGCCTCTGTTTTCAAAAATCTCAGAAGGAGACTCCACCCGTCTCTAGCCTCCTTCTGCCATAAGGACACAATTAAAGCCCTCCCTACAGATGGCCATCCAGCGTCTGTTTTAAAAAATCTCAGGAGGAGACCACCCGTCTCTAGCCTCCTTCTGCCATAAGGACACAATTAAAGCCCTCCCAACAGATGGAAGTCCAGCCTCTGCTTTAAAAAAAACTTCCAGAGAAGGGGACCATCCAGTCCAACCCCCTTCTGCCAAGACACCATCAAAGCCCTCCCAGCAGATGGCCATCCAGCCTCTGCTTTAAAAAACTTTGGGAAGGAGACTTCACCAGTCTCCAAGGCAGCCCATACTCCACTGGACAACCCCAAAGGCCACCCAGTCCAGCCTCCTTCTGCCATAAATAAAGACACCATCGAAGCCCTCCCGACAAATGGCCATCCAACCTCTGCTTCAGACAAACCTCAAGAGAAGGCGGCTCCACCTATCTCCAAGGCAGTTTATATTCCACTGGAGAACCCCAAAGGCCATCCAGTCCAACCCCCTTCTGCAAAGACATCATCAAAGCCCTCACAACAGATGGCCATCCAGCCTCTTCTTTAAAAAATATTGAGGAGATGCCACCTTCTCCAAGGCAATTCATATTCCACTGGGGAACCCCAAAGACCTGCCATTCCAGCCCCCTTCTGCCATAATGAAAGACACAATCAGAGCCCTCCTGACAGATGGCCATCCAGCCTCTGCTTATAAGCCTCCAGAGAAGATGATGATCACGATTATTATTTTTATTGATTCACAGAATTGAAAGCGACCCCCTCTATTGCCATCCAATCCAACCCTTTCCAACCAAGATACCATAAAAAGCCCTCCCGATAGATGGTCATCCAACCTCTGCTTGCAAACCTCCAGACTCCATCATCATAGCCAATTTTTATGATTGTGATTATGATTATTGATTCATAGACTTGAAAGCAACCGCTTTATTGTATATACTTTTTTTCTTTGTCTATGTAATTTTGATGATGTTGTTTGTTGTTTATAACACCAAAACATAAACATCATCAAAATTACCATCCAATCCAACCCTTTCCAACCAAGATACTATAAAAAGCCTTCTCAATAAATGGTCATCCAACCTCTGCTTGCAAACCTCCAGAATCCATCATCATAGCCAATTTTTTTATGATTGTGAATGCTTTCCTGTCTGGAATTGTTTCATGTTTCATGTGGGAGTTCTTTCTCACACCCTGGACATCATTCCACAGATATATAAACCCCACTTGCCTAGTTTCCAACAGACCTTCAAACCTCTGAGGATGTCTGCCATAGATGTGGGTGAAACATCAGGGGAGAATGCTTCTGGAACGTGGCCAGACAGCCTGGAAAACTCACAGCAACCTAGAACTCTTGCCTGTATGAGSCAAGTATGAATGTTGCAATTGGCCACCTTGATTAGCATTGAATGGCCTTGCATCTTCAAAGCCTGGCTGCTTCCTGCCTGGGGGAATGCTTTCTTATGAGATGTTAGCTGGCCTTGATTGTTTCCTGTTTGGAATTGTTTCATGTGGGAGTTCTTTCTCCCACCCTGGACATCATTCCACAGATATATAAACCCCACTTGCCTAGTTTCCAACAGACTTTACAACCTTTGAGGATGCTTGCGATAGATGCAGGCGAAACATTAGGAGAGAATGCTTCTAGAACATGGCCAGACAGCCTGGAAAACTCACAGCAACCTAGAACTCTTGCCTATTTGAGGCAAGTGTGAATGTTGCAGTTGACCACCTTGATTAGCATTGAATGGCCTTGCATCTTCAAAGCCTGGCTGTTTCCTGCGTGGGGGAATGCTTTCTTACGAGGTGTTAGCTGGCCTTGATTGTTTCCTGTCTGGAATTGTTTCATGTGGGAGTTCTTTCTCCCACCCTGGACATCATTGCACAGATATATAAACCCCACTTGCCTAGTTTCCAACAGACCCCACAACCTCTGGAGATGCCTGCCATAGATGTGGGTGAAACATCAGGAGAGAATGCTTCTAGAACATGGCCAGGCAGCTTGGAAAACTGCCTGGCCTCTTGCCTGTTTGATGCAAGTGTGAATGTTGCAATTGGCCACCTTGTTTAGCATTGAATGGCCTTGCAACTTCAAAGCCTGGCTGCTTCATGCCTGGGGGAATCCTTTCCTAGGAGGTGTTAGCTGGACGTGATTGTTTCCTCTCTGGAATTGTTTCATGTGGGAGTTCTTTCTCCCACCCTGGACATCGTTCCACAGATATATAAACTTTGCTTGCCTAGTTTCCAACAGACCTTACAACCTTTGAGGATGCTTGCCAGAGATGCAGGCGAAACGTCAGGAGAGAATGCTTCTAGAACATGGCCATATAGCCCGAAAAACCTACAACAACCTTTTTTTCTTATTCTATTTTATTTTATTGACCAGGGACCACTCTAGTGGTCCCTGGTCATTAGTACCAAAAGGGTTTTGAATCAGTTTTTGGTGAAGTTTAGATTCAGTTTGGTTATTTGGGATGCTGATTCAGAAAATTGCATTGGATAGACCACATCAGCTCTAGTTTCTGATACAGAACATATGCCATCGAGTAGTCACCATCTGCCCACCCACAGAAAACCATATTGAATAAGCTCCGGCACTATAAGAGGGTTTTGCGAGACCATATTTTCGTTCTTGTGGACCACTGGTGGACCATGGACCACAGTTTGGGAACCACTGATCTAGAGACACTAGACTCTTATTGATGCAGCCTAGGATCGCATTGGGTTTCATAGCTGCCGCATCACACTGTTGACTCATGTTCAGCTTGTGGTCTAATGAGATGAATCTAGCTTCAAACTAAGGTGGCCAGACAGCAATCTCCCAACAAAATTGCACAAAAAATAGCCCTAAATTTGCATCAGGGTTTTGTGGTTTGTGTACTCACCATCAAACCGGTCCCAGGATTGCCTATGTAATCATCTACACACTTTCTCCAATATCATTTTGAAATGGCATTAAATGCTCAGTGCAGATGAAGCTTAACACAGCTTCTACCTATTGTCCCATTTTGTCTTTGAAATGCTTTTAGTTTAGTTGCTTTAATTTCAATATCGGTTTATATTTTGTCGGAATTTTGTAATATGCCTTGAGTCCCAATCTGAGGGAGAGACGGTATATAATGGAATGGATGGATGTTGTGATCCACAACAAACCATGCACAATGGAACTAGGAATGGATTGAGCTGCTTGTTAATTCCAGCTATACAATAACAATAATAATCTATATAAATAAAAATGTAATGTTCGTTTGTGGGATTAACAGAACTCAAAAACCACTGTGTGAATTGACACCAAATTTGACACCAAAACACTGAAAAACACAGCCAAAAAAAACCAACATTACAATGCATGCGCAAAACCACATATATATACACAAACACACATATATACACACATATATGCATATACACACACAAAACACATACACAGAAAGGAGGAAGGAAGGAAAGAAGGAGAGAAGGAAGGGAAAGAAGAAGAGGAAGAGAAGGAAGGAGGGAAGAAAGAGGAAAAGAAAAAGGGAGAGAAGAGGGAGAGGAGAGAGAAGGAGAGAAGGAGGGAGAGAAGAAGGAGAGAAGAAGGAAAGAGAAGGGTAGAGAAGGAAGGAAGGATAGAAAAGAAAAAGAAAGAGGAAGGAAGGGGAGAGAAAGAAGGAGGGAAGGAAGAAGGAAGAGAAGGGAGGGAGGAAAGAAACAGGTAGAGACGGGAGAAAGAAAAAGGGAAAGAAAAAAAAAGAAAGGAAGGAGGGAAAGAAGGAGAGAAAGAGAGAAGGTTGGCCACAGCAAAGCGTGGGGGGTACAGCTAGTCTATATAAATAAAAATGTAATGTTTGTTTGTGGGATTAACAGAACTCAAAAACCATGGACGAATTGACACCAAATTTGGACACAAGACACCTAACAATCCAATGTATGTCCTTCACTCAAAAAAATTGATTTTGTCATTTGGGAGTTGTAGTTGCTGGGATTTATAGTTTACCTACAATCAAAGAGCATTCTGAACTCCACCAATGGTGGAATTGAACCAAACATGGCACACTGGACTCCCATGACCAACAGAAAACACTAGAAGGGTTTGGTGGGCATTGATCTTGAGTTTGGGAGTTGTAGTTCACCTACATCCAGAGAGCACTGTGGACTCAAACAATGATGGATCTGGACCAAACTTGGCATGTATATTCCATATGCCCAAATATGAACACAGATGGAGTTTAAGGGAAATAGACCTTGATATTTGGGAGTTGTAGTTACTGGGATTTAAAGAGTATTCTGAACCCCACCAATTACAGAATTGGGGCAAACTTC